TGATTCATCCGTATCGTCTTGTCTGCGGTCTGGAGTCTCGGTCCCCAGTTAAATTATCAAGTCGGGCACGCACCGAAAACCCGACATCGGACCAACAGACTATATAGTCAGAGCCGCTGGCTATATTCAGCGCCTTATCGCGGTTTCAGCCTGCGGTTTTCATTTCTATGGAAGGCCCCCTCTTACCGCCCGCTAAAATATCGCTCTTTGTTTGCCTTGGGGGCCCGGCCATTTACACGGACCAATATTTGTTCATCGCAATTATTATTTGCCTGTTTGCTCGTATTTGTACAAAACGGAAACTTGCTCAAAATGCGTAAATATGTACGCTCAAGCGTGGCCTTATTCGGGGTTAATGCCGGGAAAACCCCTATGAATCATTGTGGGATTTTCACTTTTCATATTAGCACTCGAGACAAGAGTTTTTGGTAAGTAGATACAGCTCAACTTGAGGGTTTTAGAAAGTACATTAAGTAAACATTTAATTTAAACATTTTTTTTATTTTATTTAAGTTAATATATATATATATATTTTTTTTAACCAAACTTTTTATTAATCAATATCAATTTTACAATATCGTTGACACTTTTTTGTTGGTTGTCATATAATTTGTTATCACATTAACAAAGAATATTATGACACTATATATATTTGAGGACTTAACAAAGAACTTTATAATGATGAACTTAACACATACGGTTTTATTTTATTTCACAATTTCACCATGTAAATACTGCGTAATAATAATTATCTTTGTCTCAGGACGTATGACTTGTTTACAAGTTGTAAAGTTGCAGCTGAAATGAGATCAAACAAATATTAGCCAAACCTTTTTTTCGCCCTTATAAACACCTCGTGACGGAAAACGAACAGGAAGGGTTTAAGGGGTGTGATTTAGCTAATCTAAGCCAACAAGTTATCAGAGAACTAAAGATAAAAAGAAAATTTATATAAGAAATATATAAAATTAATAAAATAAAATAGAATTGCCTACTTGTTGTTATTGAAAGGGAAAGGGTGAAAAGTGTATGGAAATATCTCGTGATGCTTAAGACTCCTCGTTTAAATGCCTAAGATAGTGAGTTTATATAGATGACAGCTTGCAAAGATCACAATGATTTATTTGCTGGAAAATATTAGTGTACACAGTGGGAGGCAGCTGGCAAGTTGTTCCAGAATGCAGGGGCAGTGTAAAATGCTAAAGAGACCGCTCCTAGAAATGGCAACAATTGTTGAAACATTAACCAATGCAAACTGCAGCTAATTTGAAATTTTAAACAATTTTTGCAACGACTGCAGCAGCAGCAACAACAAAAGATGCCGAAAACAAAGCCAAAGGCTAGTCGATTTGAGCGTTTGAAGCGTTCGTTGCGCTTTGATTGAATTGAATGCGCGAAGCTTGTGGAACTCAAAGTCGCTAAATAAGAAATAGGTGCAAGTGATAAAATAAATATTACAACATTTTGATGGCCTAGAATTTTGTATATTTTTTTTTTTTTTTTAAGCTTAGCTTAGTTACTGCAAATCTAAAAATAAATAATAAAATTTCTTTTGTAAAAAAAAATATTTCAATTTCTTACATATTAGCATTAGCAGACAATTTTTGAGACTATGATAATAAACTAAATAAAAACTTATATTGGTCAAAAATATTTAAATTCAATTTTTTTTTTAATATCTCTAAAAATTTATGTTAATTATAAAACAAAAAAAAACATTTTAAAATAGAGATCGATTCAATTTTAACCACAAAAATTTCTTTGCAATATAGCCCCAAACTTTACAATTCCAGGGTATAAAAAACAAACTGAAACGAAAACCAAACAATAGTAATAGTAAGAGCGTTTAATGCATTTTGCGCCCGCTCGAAGCGAGGAAATTATGTGAATTTCGTATAGAGTTGTTTGGAACCGCAGCAGCGCACACCTGCGTGCCAAATCGCATGGCTATAGCTTCTATATATCGGTGACAAATGAAAAAAAAAATATGACTTACAATATGCTTCAAGTTTAATGAGCGCAAAATGAATGCCAACGATGCTGACAGCTAAAAACGCTGGATGGTTGCAGGGCAGTCGGAATTACCATAATGATCTCAATATTTGCTCAACTTTATCACGACACTCCGTAGCTGTAGCTATTTAATTACCCACACCCGTGCAAACGGCGGTAATCGCAGTTCTAGCATTTCAGCACAATTAGACACGCGAGAGGCGGCAGGCAGGGCGTATGAGTAATGCAAGTAATGCAGTGGCTATATCTCTATCGCCAGGGTCTGGTTCGCCATCTCCATTTCCACTTCCATCTGACTTCAGTGCCTATTAATAGCGATCCGCGTCTTTGGTAGCCTGCGGTTATATTTTTTCCTCCACCGCTTACCTCCCCCACTGGGCGTTACTTATTTTAGACACTACTTACAATCCGGAGCAACATTTTGCGGCACTTGGGCGAGGCAATTACTCACGGCAAGGGCAACTCCGTCAACAGATTTGGCAGCTGCCACTTCAGGGGTGGTGGACAACTGAGTGGCGACATCGGTTGCAACAGGGGCGGGGCAAAGGGGGTGGTAATTAATTAAATTAAATATTCTTATAATTTTGTACACCAAGTATCTGCTTTAAAATACTCAAAGCAAAATTGTTTTTAAATGCCTGTTCAAAAGTCTTAAATAATGTTATTTAAACCGAACTGTTTCTGAAAAAAAAAGAAAATATGAGAGGCAAATTAAAAATTATTTTTTTAAGAATATGGTTTAATTTGTAGGATTTTTTAATTAGATTGATCAAATGAACAAATATGAAACTTTCTACAAAAAACATATAACCAAGTTTGTAGGTTATTTTTTAAAAGTTTTCAGCAACCCTTTCACCCAACGCCCCTTTGTTGGAAACCCAGTGCAAGTTGCAACAAATTAGCTGCGAAACGGGCGCGTGAGAAAAACAAAGTTGAGCGGTCGCAGGTCTTAAAAATAGTTCGCGAAACGTGACGTGACATTGGGGGATTACCACGACCAAGGAGCACTAATCTGGGCAGATTGACTCATTTTAATTGGCGCAGTGGGTGGAGTGCGAAACGATCCAGATCAAATTGTGTATTTCTGTGACTCAAATAAGTATGCTACGAAACCGTGCAGCCCTTAATTACGTTTTATGAGTAATTTATTGACAGTTTAATTAGTTAAAAATCTCTGAAAATGTTATTGCCATTTATTTCTGCTTTTATCTAGTTTAATTATTTTTAAACATATGAATAAAAAGTACATTTGATACCGATGCAATAAAAATATAAAATATTTTCCTTTTGTCTGGCGAGCTCTGTTGGGTTTTTTCCTGATATCTGCATCTACCCATCTTAACTATCCTCGCAAAACTGGCAAAAAACAGCTGCACAAACTGCTATGACGGCAAAATAAAAATATAAACAAAGGCTTGGTTTTGGATTGTTGCAATTATCGAATGGCCATCAGAAACATTTGCCAAAACAGATGCCATTAACCAACTATATTTATATATATCTACTCGACCAGATGTGAGCACAAAAGCTTATCCGGATATATCCATTTAAACAATTTAAATAGATGAGCTTTTTACTGAAACCTTTAAAAGATTTCACTTACTTACCCACATAGTTGAAATATCAAGACTCTGTCGTTATTTGTTATTATTTCAAAATTTATTTTACTGATGATTAGTACTAAATAATTTAGTTTTCTTGTAATTTACCATTACCACTTTCAATTAATTTTGGTTTTTTTTTATATTTTTGCAGTCTTAAAAATTTGTCTAAACAATAAATTTTCCATGTTGCATCAATTTGTTTATTTTCAATGTTTTCTCTTTTCTTTGTTTTAAATAGTTCATTACGCTAATGTTAAATTTGCTGAGAGAATTTGTTATAAGAAAATGAATGCCAATAAATGTGTGGAGAAGAAGGAGGCGGCGGCCAGGGGGCGGGGCATATCGGGCTGACGTGGATTGGAATCGAGTTGCATTAATTACAAATATACATATGTGGCGTTTGCTCCAAGTGCAAACAAACAGACGCGGCGACAACAATGAGATTTCAAAAAGTCAACATTTTCTTTCGTATTTCCTTCGTTTTGGGTTATTTAGTTTCGTTTGTATTTTTCAAAAATATATTATGGAAAAATTGTACACTGATATTGAGGTATTGGAAAAAATCGGCATATATGTTTTAGGTATATGTATATCTGTATCTGTATCTAAATGTATGTACAGGACATTCAAAAAGTGTAACGCTACTAGTTTGACATGCAAAAATGGCCTTGCGCTTGGTGCTGTTTTCTTACTTGGGTAAAATTTGAAAAATTCGAAAACGGAAAATGGCAAGAAAAAGAAAAACGAAATAAGGAAAACCCTAAACCGAGAGGAAAACGCATTCCTGATCGTTCCTATTCATATGGCAAACTAGGACATCTATATAACAAGTGCAATTCTACTACAATTAAATGTATCTCTGAAAAGCTTTAAAATTGTTTCCTTCTATAATTGTTTGCGATTCTTGATTTCTGTTGTTTCTATTTGGTTTGGTTCTATATAATTCGTTTCCCGTTTATTATGAGCTATATAAAAATATTTTTGTTATTATTTATGTATTAAAATTCACAATTTTGGTTACGCTCCATTCGCAAAAATACGTTTAGATTTGGTTTTTAAATATTTACTTTCCCCTTTCAGCGCTTTCTAGAAAATCGAGTATGGAATACATCAAGTTTTTTAACTTTGGAAAAGGGACGACTAAAATGAATTTCGAAATCACACTCACGCTCATCCATTCACTCATTTTTAGTGGGATAGGAAAAGGACCTCATATCCACTCACTGATATCGATTATCCCCCTGTTTCTCTGACATTCTCGCTCAAGGACCCATTTTTAGTTAGTCAGCCATGCAGGATATATCCTATCTTCTAAACTCCAATCTCAAATTCTAGATTCGATTAATAAAAGTATAAATTTGAAGTAATTTACTAACTACTGGGTTGGTTGGTTTGTCATTTGCTTCATTCGTTTTTGGTTTTATATAAATATAAATTACAGGTTTTTTAATTACAGTGCTTTACAATTGAAATTTCGTTTAGAGACGCTGAGAATATATTAGCTAATATCGTGTGCCAGCATTAAAAATACAATATGGCTATGTTTTTACGGAATCGAAAATGTGGAGGCTCGAGACACTGAGATTGCATTTAATGCAATAACTGGTACCGAAAGTAACACAAAGCACACACAGAGCGGGAAAATTGGGAGCGGGACAAAGATACATACACATACGCACGGAAATATACAAAATACACTTTGGGCTTAGATGTACGATGGAAATAACAGCTAAGTAACACATGTCGTCGTCGCTGTTATCCGCTGATTAGTTTTAAAGCTTTTTGGCGCCCAGTTTCATGGGTCCGCTCGCCCGTTGAGCGCGTCGCGCCTCCAATTCCCGCTGCCGCTGCAGCTTCTTCTCCTCCCGCTTGCGACGAGCCTCGTCCAGTTTGGCATTTCCTGAAAATACGGGGGTATTTATTAGTTGGCATTGACTAAAGGGGTCATTATTAAAAAAAGAGATTTACTGATTAAATTATACTAGTTCTGGACTTATTTATAAGGAAAACGTTGTTAAATTGCGAGTATTTGGCTAGATAAAATTATATACAGATGATTTACTGAATAACTTGTACTAATTCTGATATTATCCATACAAAAACATTTAAAACAAACTAGTAAAACATCATATTAAATTTTTTAAACCCGACATATCCTATTAAACTCACCAAATCCCGATTCATCCAGTGGCTCAAACTCCCCATCGGCCCACGAATCGCTATTCCAATTGGCATTATGCGTCGAATTATTCAAATGCGACGAAGGCGGGCTAATGTTATTGCAATTGGCAGTGGCCGACGTGGGCGATGTATTGCTGCTGGAGAGATTGGGCAGCTCCTTGGGCCGCAACATCGACTGCTTCGACGGCGAGGTGACGTGTGAGTTGAGCTTGGCCAGCGGCTCGATCAGATCGTTCAGTTCGTGCTGCTGCAGCTGCTGCTGATGGAGATGCTGTTGCTGCTGCTGATGATGTGGCAGCTGAGGTCGCTGATGCTGCTGACTGGATGACGTTGTGGATGATATAGATTGTCTGGCCAGCTGCTGTTGCTGCTGCTCCTGCTCCGCCTGCTCCTCCTCCTCGCACTAGAAAGAACCCCATTAAATTAGTAACTAATGAAGAGAGATAACTAAACTGAGATCTCACCGGATCCTCTTCTAGACTGCCCCACTCCTCGTTGTCCCAGCCATCGCGCACTTCGCTCAAGGCATTGGCTGCCATCATGGCGCCATTATTGGAGCTGGCTGCCAGCGGACTGCTGGGATCCTGAGAGGTCTGAAATGAATCGAACAAGCATTAATAAGCAGAATTCACTTGAATGCCAAGTAGCAGGTGCTTACATCCATTTCGCCCCAGTTTTCGTTGTCCCAATCGTTGTTGCCATAATCAGAGGCCGAGGCGGAGGTGTCATTGCTTTCATGCTCCAGCGAGGTCATTGAGGTAACACTACTTGTGGTGGTCGATAAACTGCTGCTCGATGGTTGCTCTACACACACGGGAAATGGGAAAGGGAAAATGCAGGTTAATTGCATTGTGCAAATTGCATAAGCGAGACGGACAATGTACTTACCAAGCGACGCTGGCTTGGACAGATTGCGTCCAGTTAAAGGCGGTCGTGGTCGAGACGAATCACTTTGGCTGCGATAGAACTTGGCTGTGACGGCCGTCACCGCCCATCCCGCCCAGGTGGCGGCCGCATTGCCAATGGAGGGCGTGGCCGTGTGGACATCCGCCTCTGTAAAATAAAGTTTTACATTATTAATAAGAACTATTTTTGTTTTATCATAGTATGCCATGAAATTTCTGATTTGTTTAATTCAATTCTACGTGAAATAAATGGAATGTATTTCTAATTTATTTCGAATTGAATGAATAGTTTTTATGAATTTTTGGAATTTGACACATTTTTTTGTGCTTTCTTTTGAGAACAAAAAGTGGAATATTTCTAACAAATCAATTTTAACTGCTTAGAAAATAAAATTCATGCAGATTAAATCACAAAATTATGGCCCTTTCTTCTTCAAAAGAATTTGTGATTTGAGTTATTTCGGAATTTATGCCATTCATTCATTCAATTCTATTAAACTCAAAATTCAAATTCGTTCAATTCTATTAAACTCAAAATTCTAATTAATTCATTCGTATACAAAAAAAATTCAAAATAATTAATTAAATCCATTTATGCAGGGCTCTATTAAGAACAACGTATAAAGGCGTATTTTCTATATTTAAATCAATTACTATTTGCTAAAAGAATCATTTAATATCCTATAAAAACATTAGGGAACACTCACCCATTGTCTCCCTTAAGCTGGGATCCTCGGACACCTTCTCCAGTTTGCCCAGAAATCCCCGAATAGTTTTAAACGCCGGATCGCGCACTGTTTTTTCCGGATCCACGCTGAGGGAACACAGGGATGGCAGCACCCGGTTGGCCACTTCGCTGAGCAAAAAGTACTGCTGTGTGGCGGCCAGGGCTAAAACTCCGGCGACTCTGGCGGGCGGAAAGGGATCCCGCATGGCGCGAATGAAGGCGGAGACCAGCACACGCTGGCGCACCTGCGGATGCAAATGCGGCGCAATCTTGCCCAGACACACCGTCGTATTGGTGCGAATGCCACCCTGATCGTCCCGCGCCTGCAGCCTGGCAAAGTGACGCAGCACCTCCACATTCAGATTGTTGTAGTTGAGCTTGGGCGCCAAATGGATGATCGACTTGACCGTCTGCTCGCGTATGGTGGCATTGGTGTCCAGGAAGCCGTGAGCCACCTGGGGGAAAATCTGATCGTTGACCACCTGTGGCTGCAGATGCGCAATGAACAGATCCAGCTGCTGCAGCAGGCGCGACCGAGTCACACGATCCGTGGAAGCGAACAGCTTGACCACACAGGGCACAATCCGTTTCTGGTACTCCACCTCGTCCAGCAGTTTGCCCAGCTGCAAGATTACAATGCTTTATGAGTGCTCTATGTCAGATAAGGGGTATAAACCTTAAACATGGGTGCCAGCACTGCGGAGCCCGCATCTCCGTACTCGTAGGCCGTAATCAGCTGTGGAAGTATCTTGTGCCGGCACACATTATCCGGAAAGTTGTCCAGATGCGTGGTCAGGCCACTAAAGAAGCGATTCTTCTCCGCCTTGTCCTTGATTTGGATTTCCTCCAGGAAGAGCAGTGTGTCCACCAGATCGTTTTTGAAGAACCCGCCCGGCTTGCGGCAGCGTGTGATTATGTCCGCCGGATTGGGGCGATTCGAGGGAGAGGCTCCCACCAGCTCGCAGTAGAGCGATTGCAGGGATTTGGGTATGTGCTCGATATCCTTGAGGTTGGAGCGTTGCTTCAGCACGCCATTGAAGGCCTCCCACACCAGACAGCCCAGGCCCCACATGTCCACGGAGCTAAAGATTAGGTATAATAAAATAGAATAAAGTGCTTTAAGGGTAAAATACTATATTTACCACTTGGTGGCCGCCTTGAGCTTGCTCTGATCGCTCTTCTCCGGCGAGTCGTAGACCTCCAGGGTCACGGGAATCTTGGCGGGCGGCATGGGATTGCCATCGGCCGCCGAGACATACTCCAGGCTGCCCAGCTTCCACTCCCCGGAGGCGTTGACGAAGACCGACCAGGCGGAGACATTGTTGTGCCGCAGATTGCCATCGTTGTTGAGAAAGGACAGGGCGCGCTAGAGGGGATTAAGGATTAGAGTTAGTTAATATAGTTAAAAAGGATATTTCTAGGATAACCCACTGTGATCTGGAAGATGCCCCAGGCCAGATAGAGGCCCTTCTGCAGATTATCGCTGCCCAGCTTGGCAAAGTAGCTGCCCAGCGGATCCACCGCCTCGGTGGCCACATACAGCATCTTGTCCGTTTCCAGGGAGTCCAGATATTGCAGGATGCTCGGATGACGCAATGTCTTGAGCCGCTTCAGCGATGCCTTGGCCAGTTCGCACTTGGTATCGGAACCGCTGCGTATGTCGTAAACGAAGACGGAGACCTCCTCCTGGGTGGTCTTCCGCTTGGCCTTGTGCAACGTCCATATCGAGTACTGATCAAAACCGCCAACGGGTTCGCCAATATCGTAGGGAAAGTCTTTCGAGGAGTCGCGCGAGAAAAACGACCACATCATGTGTTTTGCTCGGCGGCTCAATATTTTGTTTGCTGTGTTGTGTCACTACCACCAGCAACAACAACAATTGCAACACTGCAACTGCAACAACAACAACACTGCGCAGGCAACAAACACACGCACACACACACACGCACACCTTGTTGCTGCTACAAAGGCACTGGAATTTCGGTTGTTTTAGCTACCGATTCTTTGGTTTTATCCTTAGGCCTCTGTCTTTAGCCTGATCTTGATCTTCGTCATGCCAATTCTGCTGCTATATGTCCTATTTGCTATATATTTATCCGCTGCGCAGCAACAATTTTCCAGCTTTTTACAGACTCGCAGCCAAAACGCACACACACACACGAACGCACAACTTATCCGCTGTTTTTCTTCGTCCCTAGAGGTCTCATCCCTGGGATCTTGCGAATATCCTGGACAGAGGGCGATCTTAGGCGTATGGCCGTGCTTCTGAGGCGGGGGAGTCAGCTAATCGGATCGGTCGCTCGTCTCCGTCGCAAATATTATCCTAATCTTTTTCCCGAGTACGTCAGCTTTTTTTGCGTGAGGCGTTAGTGACGGACCAGCAGGCGGCGTGCGTGAGCAGCTGACCATGGAAAACCAAGTGGCAACTCCGCTAGGCCAAGTGGCATCCTTAAATAAACCACCTATCTTTAAATTTAAAAATTAATAAATCTTACAAATATAACAATCAGGAGATAAAATATTTTAATACTAAATGTGTGCCTTCATTGTAAATGTTTGGCCACTTAATTTGACTATGAACATAGAGAAAAACTTTTAAAATGGCTAACATTTTACTTTTAGTAAATACAATTTTCTTTTCGAGCTTACCGCCGTTTCTTATTTGCATATCACAATTTTTTTGAACAGTACTTTTAATAAAAATCTTACAAGAAAAACACTGAAACTTCTCAAAGTCTTTGCAGACTTCTTATTTTAAACCGATATAACAACGATGCAACAACGTCAAAAAATTTTGTTTCATATGAAGTTTTTCTTTTCGACGACTTTTTGTCAGGTTGAGTACTAGCCCTTACCTGCATACCTGCAGGCCGAAGTTAACTTCCTTTCTTGTTTTTAACTCCCATAAGTAAAAGCATAATATTATTGTTTGCTTTGTTTTATTGAAAGAAGTTTTTAACATAAACGTTTTTGTGACTTAAGTGCTTGACAAGGAGCTTTCACTACCGCTTAAGCAGTTCTCTAAATCCGCTTCAATCTTTGAACGAGTCTTCTTATAGACACTCACAGCTTCAGTGTTGCATGCTTTTGCCTCCACATTAATGGTATTATATAGCTTTTCATAAAGCGCGTTGAGTTCGGAGGCGTTGTTGCCGATTATAACGATCATTGGCTCGGTGCTGCTTTGAGACTAAATAAGAAAAAAATAATCAAAATACATTTCAATAGAGAAGCAAATCGCTAATTATAATGCTCCCAAATTTCAGTTTCCACTGGTATAAAGTCACTCATAGAGGTTCTTAAAAAGCGTCTAATCTGATCCAAGTGTAGAAGGGAAACCATTTAGAGCAATAAACCTATTTACAGGAACCCGACAATTGTTATATTCTTGCAGAAGGTAATATAAAAGTTTCAAAAGTTTGTAACGCAGTGAAGGAGAAGTTTCCGACCACATAAAGTATATATATTCTTGATCAGAACCAATAGCCGAGTCCATCTAGCAATGTCCGTCTGTCCGTGTCTATGCGAACTAGTCTCTCAGCTTTAAAGCTAAAAGGTCTTCTTTCTATTGCAGGTAGTACATGTGTCGGAACGAATCGAATCAGACCACTATATCTTTATATATGGTTCCCATAGAAATAATCAAAAACAAAAATTTTAACTTTGTAGGAAGTAGGCGTTTTTAATTTTGACATTTTTAAAAGAGCACTCGACTATCAGATACCCGTTACTCAACTAAGGTAAGTACGAATTTTTCATATGGTCATAACTTTTTAATAAATGGTCCGATTTAAAAAATGTCTTCACATACCTTGTCTTTGATGCAAGACAAGAATTTGCCGTTGTCTTGAATTACAATGCACTCTTGAAACACGCCGATGGATTCGACGGCCTCTCGGATCGCGTCTACTTCAACCTGGAATTTGTCGTCCACTTCTTCCCTCATCAAAATAGACTGCTCATTACACGCATTGACGTCAGCTTTATAAGTTTCCAAAACACTTTCAATAAGGGGGTGGTAGTAATCAAAGCACTGTACGTCGTCCTGTGATTCCACTTGCAGCGAAGAAGATGACAAGGACAAAATCAGACTTATTGCCAAACGGACAATGCACAATTTGGTTTTCATTTTAGGAGGTTTAAAATTTAGAAGCTAAATCCTTTTATGAAGACTTAAACTTTCCGACTGTTGAAACCACCAGGCCGCTGCAATATTTATAGTCGCCGCGCTTGATTGCCTCAAAAATTAAAAAAAACAAGAGAGAACGCTATAGTCGGGTTGTTGTCCCGACTATCTAATACCCGTCACTCAGCTAAAGGGAGTGCGAACGCTGTGTCGGGTTGGTGTCCCGACTAATAATCGTAACTCAGCTAAAGGGAGTGCGAGGGAGATAGATATATAATTTTTGATTGCGTATAACTTTTTAATGAATGGTCCGATTTGAAAAATGTCTTCTACATTTCGATAGGTATAAATATACACAACAAAATTGCATTTATACTTTTTGGAAATCTTTAAAGATGTGGGCGCAGGACCCATTTTAAAATCATTAGTGGGCGATTGTGGGCGTTAGAGGGGGCGTGGCGCTCGGCTAAAATAAACTTGCGCTGCGTAGGAAGCCAAAGAATATGTGTGGGAAATCTCAACCTTCTAGCTTTTGTAGTTTCTGAGATCTCAGCGTTCATACAGACGGACAGACGGACAGACAGACAGACAGACAGACAGACAGACAGACAGACGGACAGACGGACATGGCTAGATCGACTCGGCTAGTGCCCCTGATCAAGAATATATATACTTTATGGGGTCGGAAACGCTTCCTTCTAGCTGTTACATACTTTTGCACGAATCTAATATACCCTTTTACTCTACGAGTAACGGGTATAAAAATCATTGCTTAGTTTTATCGCATCACTTTAGATATCTTAAAAACCCGTCATATCAGTCTAATCGGTTTTATAACTGTCACACAATGGAACACGTCCTAGCATAATGTTCAAAAACGTATTTCTATCAGTCTTTTAATCTTGTGAAGAAAATAAATAAAAAGAAATAATTACTACTGTGTCTTTTTTACGGATTCGTATAAAAAGGAATTAATTATAGCCTGCAGAATGTTAGAATGTTAAAACACCCATAAAAATTAAAAAAAAAGCTTAGATCTAACGCATCATTCGAGCTATCTAAAAAACCCATCATATCAGTCTTCACGGTTTTATATCTGCCACTATCTTACCTAAAAAATTGTTGAAAAATAAATATTTTTTGTTGGTATATGTTTTTTATTTATCTAGAAGAATTAAGTATAGGGTGGGCGGACAAAGTTAACCGCCAGATAAAGCAAATCGTGTTTCTCGACATTTCTAGTAATGCTGAAACATTCGATGCAAAGCCTAAGAAATAACTACGTTACTCTAAAAAATGTAAAAAGAAAGTATTAAAATAATTTGTGAGTTCTACGAATAAACCCAAATCGAAATAAAAGTTTAAATAATAATAACGTTTATAACCCCCTTTCTATTTCCCTGCCCACTACTAAATGCTAAAATCATAACATTTCTACAACGTCATATTGAAATATTATTTTATTTCATTTATTTATTTATTGTACATGTTCGAAACTAACTGATTTTTTGAATTTAGGGGGAAAAGGGAATTATTTAGGGGGAAATATCGATTGCTTGAGATTTTTTAGGGTGAAAGCTAAACTCCCATCTGGCAACGCTCCGTGTTATGTGATTTGTGGCGCAGCCAACTTAACGCAAGGTGAGGAAAATTGCCATTTTGCCGAGTGAAACTTACTTAATTTTCTTGGGGCAGGGAATCTTCGACAGCTTCGACAGGATGATGATGCAACGCACCCAGCTACTGCTGCCCCTGGCCATGGAGGCCACCATGCTGGCCCAGCAGCAGCGTGGCATGGCCACCCTGAAGATGATTTCGATTCGCCTGAAGTCGGTGAAGAACATTCAGAAAATTACGCAATCGATGAAGATGGTGTCCGCTGCCAAGTACGCTCGTGCGGAGCGAGACTTGAAGGCGGCGCGTCCCTACGGCATCGGTGCCCAGCAGTTCTTCGAGAAGACGGAGATCGCGGCCGACGAGAAGGCGGAGCCCAAGAAGCTGCTCATCGCGGTGACTTCGGACCGTGGTCTCTGCGGTGCCGTCCACACCGGAGTGGCTCGTCTCATTCGCGGCGAGTTGGCCCAGGATGAGGCCAACACCAAGGTGTTCTGCGTGGGCGACAAGTCGCGTGCGATCCTGTCCCGCCTGTACGGCAAGAACATCCTGATGGTGGCCAACGAGGTGGGCCGACTGCCGCCCACTTTCTTGGACGCCTCGAAGATTGCCAACGAGGTGCTGCAGACCGGCTACGATTACACCGAGGGCAAGATCGTCTACAATCGGTTCAAGTCGGTGGTGTCCTACCAGTGCTCCACCCTGCCCATCTTCAGCGGCTCCACCGTGGAGAAGTCCGAGAAGCTGGCCGTCTACGATTCGCTCGACAGCGATGTCGTCAAGAGCTACCTGGAGTTCTCGCTGGCCTCGCTCATCTTCTACACCATGAAGGAGGGCGCCTGCTCGGAGCAGTCCTCCCGCATGACTGCCATGGACAACGCGTCCAAGAACGCCGGTGAGATGATCGACAAGCTGACCCTCACCTTCAACCGCACCCGACAGGCGGTCATCACGCGCGAGCTGATCGAGATCATCTCCGGTGCCGCCGCCCTCACATAAGTGAATGCTAATGTGTGATTGAACGGCTCCCAAAACGATTCATAAAGCTAATTGCATATGGTGACGGGCAATCGGAGCGACGCCCGGAGCCCTACTAATGTTACACTTTCAAAAGAACCCGAGAATAAATAGCGTGGAACGAACGAAAATAACTCTAAAACGCAAGCTCTTTAACTTTGTGGAGTGGGCGGAAAGGATTTCCAAAGGTCTGTTTTTGTTCTATGAAATTTATATTGCCATTTGAGATGAGTTCCTTTTTTGTATATCAAAATAACTTGGATTTGTTACTAAAACCGTTCGATTGTGTCTGCTTCCTTATATAAATGTAGTTTAACCGACATAAAAATCTGCTTGACTTTAAACCCTTTAAAAAACCCAGTTTACTATACTAAAATTAAAAATCCCTGCGCCTTATTGGAATATTTTACGTATATTTTGACCGACATTCTTTAACTTTGTGGAGTGGACGGAAAGGAAAGGATTTCCAAAGGTCTGTTCTTGTTTTAAGAAATTTATATTATCATTTGAAATGTGTTCCTTTTTTTTTTGTATATCAAAATTCGTATTTAAATAACTTGGATTGGTTACTAAAACCGTTCGATTGTGTTTGCTTCCTTATATAAATGATAATAAACGTAGTTTAATCCACTAAAATAACCCACTAAATACTCAAACTAAGAATCCCTCCGCCTTATTGGAATATTTTACGTATATTTTGACCGACATTCAACTTTTCAGAAATTGGTTTCTACACTTTGTGCTTATCTATGGAATTAAGGCATGGGATTTCATTGGGATGTTGCTTCTTCGTTGTTGCCGCCTTGCCTAGCACATATTTTGCAGCGCATTCAGTATGTAGGCGCCGATGTCCTCGTCCTGGTTGGTCCAGGATATCAAAATGGTCTTCTGCTTGGGATCCTTCTCGTCCTCCTCCACCTTCACCTCCACGGACTCGATGGCGATGGAGCCGTTCTCCTGCATGGTCACCGTCCAGCCGGCCAGCTTCTCTTCGAGCAGAGTCTTTAGCCTTTCGCTGGTGCGGATCATGGGACCCGGATCGTCCATCTTCACTTTAGAAGTGAATCGCATCACATGCCGATTGATGCCGATCTCCTTCAGGGCATCGGTCAGGTTTTGCAGCATTATTCGATTGTCCTTCATCACGAGAACGCCGTGAATGAGTCGCCGGCGCTTGGGATCCGGCGGCTGGGCATTGTAGGAGCGAGCCTCGGCTTTCAGCAGGGAAACGGAGGCATCGACGGGGATTTTGACGGGCGTGGAGATCACACAGGTCTCGCCATTGGCCGGCATGTAGGTCTCCAGGTTGAACTCGTCCTTGATCTTGGAGCGCAGGAACTTCATCTTCTCGGCCTCGCCATGCACGAGCATCACGTTCTTTGGCTCACAGTTCTGGATTAGCTGCATGATGCCTTGAATAATAGAGGGGTTAATTAGATCACCTTATAAATGGTTTATTTTTACCCACCTTTGGCATCCGCATGGGCTGAGAAGCTCATGTACTCCACGGCCATCTTGACCTCCACCACCTGGCGGTTCTCGAACTCCACCTTCTTGGCGCCGCCCAGAATCTTGTTGCCCACCGTTCCCTGCACACAGTAGCCCGGCATAATCACCATGTTGTTCTCATTGGGGGCCCACTTCTTGAAGATCTGCAGCGAGAGACCCGCGTGTAGCATTCCCGGCGTGGCAAAGACCACCATGGCGCCGGGATTATCGATGTAGGCCTTGTCAAAGGGCTTAATGTGCTTGAAATCGAACATGTTGCGGTGGACGAAGGTCTTGCGGATCTTCTGGTTCGTCCAGGTGATGAACATTTTGTAGTAGGTGTTGGCCTTCTCGGTGAGACCGAGAGCAAAGTAGATGGGGTACTTGAGGTTCATGCGCTCCCAGTAGGTCTCCAGCAGGATGCAGAGCTCTTGGGCGCGACCCAAAGCAAAGACGGGGATCAAAACCTTGCCGCCCTTGGCCACGCACTCGTGCACCTTCTTCAGGAAGTCCCTTTCGCGGCAGCGCTTCGAGTCCCGGATGGTGGTGGCATAGGTGCTCTCGGAGATCAGCAAATCCGGCCGGCACTTGTCTATCCAGGCGGCACCGAGATGTCGATCGGGGGTCATGTTGTAGTCGCCCGTGTAGACGACACTCTGGGAGCCCACCTTGATCCAGAACATGGCGGCACCCAAAACATGACCCGCATAATAGGCCTTAATCTCCAGATCCGTGTCCACCATCATGCTCTGATGCAGGGTCACTGGAATCACCTTCTTCATGCAATCCTTGATCATCTGCGTGGTGAAGAAGTTGGACTCGCCCTTTCGCTCCACCGCCACCTTGCGCATGTCCTCCAGGAGAATGGGCGCAATGGCCTTCGTGGGATGCGTCATGTAGATGGGGCCCGTGTAGCCCACAATCTCGGACATGTAGGGCAAGGCGCCGCAGTGATCTGGAATGCAGGCACGAATCGATAAAGAAACGATTAGATACGGAATTTGGAACACCGGAGGAGATTCTCACCCAGGTGGAAGTGCGAGATGATCACGCAGTCAATGTGGCTGGTGATCGGACCCTCGGGCACTATATACGAGAAGTCGGGGAAGCGGCGCTCATCATTGTAGCCCATATGCATCCCGCAGTCGAGCATTATGTTCTTGCCGCCCATCGAGAGGAGCAGACAGCTGCGGCCCACATCCTGGCCGGCGCCCAGTGGCGTTATCTTGATGTCCGGCATTGCGGGTTGGGTGTCGGGTTCGGGATCGGGATCACCTGGCTCCTAGCGACTGCTTTAACGCCGGCCACTTGTTGCGCTGATTAATTGAAATTGCCGAAAAAGTCGACCGTGATTTTTGTAAACAGCAAGGGAGCAGAAGTGGCGTTGCCACTGTGCCGGTGATGCCGATACGGCAACGCCGTGTCTTTTTTAGCGGTTTTTATTGGGGGTGTTCCAAAAAGTATCTGGAGATCTAAAAATTTAAGCTTAAAAAGGATAATTATAAAAACAGAAATTGGAGATCATCATATTTAGTTAGTAGCTTAAAAATATAATTTTAAGGCAGTGCATCTGCATCCATAGTATTATGGATACATGATTTTAAAGATTTTTGCAAAATTAAGTCAGTTTAAGATAGCACTTCCAAAATCGCAAGAATTCAGAACTTACATTTTACTATACAAATTTTCAATTTCTCTTTAAAATCTCTTTTTATTAAGTTTCTTAAAATACCCTCGCAATAGTTAATAATTAATAATAATTAAGTCATTTTAAGATAGCACTTCCAAATCGCAAGAATTCAGAACTTACATTTTATTTAATTAATAAATTTCCAATTTCTCTTTAAAATCTCTTCTTATTGCGTTTTCAAGAACACCCCCGCAATATTAAACCGCTCGCGAAACGGTCATACTAATCAGCAAGAAAAATAAAAGATAGCGTCTTGTCTTATCAAATCACTGTTTTGATTTTCCAAGGGCCCTAGTGCAACTGCTCCAATTCCAGGATGCCCGATTCCGTGGAGGACACCTCCACCACCTCGCTGCGGATTTGCCTGGAAGGACATGCGAATGCCTTGGCCTTGAACAAGGACAACAACCAGATCGCTTTGGCTGGGCGAAGCTGTAAGATTAGAAATCAAACACTCAAGGTTTTCCTATAAATACCTCTCTTATTTCCCCTTAGTGCTCAAGGTTTACTCCATAAACAGCAATGGCTTCACGGAATCATGTAATATGCGCGGGAAGAACCAGAATCTTAGCTACTCCGCCAACGATGTGGCCTGGTCCACCTTGGATAGCAATCTCCTGGCCACGGCGGCCACAAATGGCGTGGTTTCCGTGTGGGATCTCTCCAAGTTCGGCAGGCAGAAGCAGCTGCTGGTCTACAACGAACACGAGCGCACTGCCCACACGGTGACCTTCCATAGCAGCGAACCCAACATTTTGATCTCGGGCTCCCAGGATGGCACCATCAAATGCTTCGACATCCGATCGGATAAGTCCGTGAATACCTACTTTTGCAACTCGGAGTCCGTGCGGGATGTGAAGTTCAGTCCGCACACGCAGAACATCTTCTCCGCCGTCTCCGAAAATGGAACCGTCCAGCTGTGGGACATGCGCAAGTGGGACAAGTGCATGGTGCAGTTTACGGCGCACTATGGTCCCGTTTACACCTGCGATTGGCATCCCACGCGGAATTGGCTGGCCACCGGCAGTCGGGACAAGCAGATCAAGGTGTGGAACATGGACGGCAGGCCGGGATTGGAGCACACCATCCACACGATCGCCGTAGTGGGCAGGGTCAAGTGGCGGCCAGAGAGAACGTGGGTTTGAGAGGATTTATTGATTACATAACCAATACTAAACCTGCTTAATCTCCTTTAGTTATCACATTGCTAGCTGCGCTTTGGTGGTGGACTACAGCGTTCATGTGTGGGACATCCGGCGGCCGTACATCCCCTTTGCCTCCTTCAACGAGCACACCAATGTCACGACTGGAATCGCGTGGCAGGGCAGCGATTCCCACTGCCTGCTGTCCATCAGCAAGGATTCAACCATCTATAAACATGCCTTTAAGGATGCCACCAGGCCAGCGTTGAAGGCCAACGCGCAGGGAGCCAGCTGGGGAAGATTCGGGGACATCTCCTTTGCCAACAAGATCAAGGAGTATGCTCCAAAGACTAGTGGCGCCTCCAACACAAAGTCCTCCAGTTTCATGTATGTTTAGATAACTTTATCAGAGCCCTGCATGAATGGATTCAATGAATTATTTTGAAATTTTTGTTTATATGAATGAATTAATTTGAATTTTCAGTTTAATAGAATTGAATGAATTTGAATTTTGAGTTTAATAGAATTGAATAAGTGAATGGCATGAATTTCAAAATAATTCAAAAGAAACATTTTTTTTTGAAGAAGAAAGGGCCATAATTTTGTGATTAAATCTGCCGGAATTTTATTTACTAAGCAGTTAAAATTGATTTGTTAAAAATTTTCCACTTTTCTGTTCTCAAAAGAAGGCACAAAACAATCTGGCAAATTCAAAAAAATCATAAAAATTATTCATTCATTCATTCAATTCGAAATGAATCAGAAAAACAATCAATTTATTTCACATAGAATTGAATTAAACAAAATCAGAAATTTCCTGGCATACTATAATAAAACAAAAATTGAATGAATCACGCAGGGCTCTAATAACTATATGCCCTGGTTAGTTTCTAAGTTTTGGTCTTTTTAGAAGTCGCCGGAAAACGAATGTGGCTGGCAGCATTCAGTTCCATTTGGACCATTCCAAGATGTACAAATTCATGGTTAACGAATCGGTTGGTTATTTAATACCTATGAAAGTCAGGATCTATTTTAACCACTTAATATGCTTACAGTTTTCTGGTTTTCCCTTGAGTGAATCTGTTTCGCGTCCCACCCAGGAACACGAGAGTTTCATTGGCTGCGCCAGGGAACTGATTATTAGCGGCAAAAAGTTGGCTGAGCTTTGCGAGCATAATGCAGAGGTCTCCAAAAAATACGGCAAACATAATGTGAGCATCTAAGATTATTATTATACTTTCCAAAAATCATATAATACATTTTCAGGCCACAACATTGTGGAACTTCATCAAGCTGTTCTACGGCAGCAATCATTTCGAGCCTCCTTTCGAACATCGCTCCTCCTTCTCGAATCAAAAGAATCCGATGAACTCTCGACGTGCCACCCAAGTGGCCAGCGATTGGCCCCAGCAGCGCAGTGATCTCGGCCAGGATCTCAATGGAAACACGCCGGAGACAGCGCATGAGATCGATGTGGCAAATGTGGACGATGATCCGCTCGGCGGCAGCGGTGTGGAGCATCCGCCCACAAGTTCAGTGATTCTGTCCGAGACGCAAATCATCAGCGAGATTACCTTTGATAACTTTGAGCTGTTGCGCAATGGATTTATTTATGTGGGTCCCACTGAATGCGCAAAAGCTTTGGCCTTTCCTGCCCTTCATCACGATGTTCAGGCAGCTCGCCCTCAACTGGATCTCAAAGCCTCCGATCACGAGAAGTCTCCTGTAAGAAGTTTCATCATATTTATGGTTTTTTTTGATTTATTGATTGCATTCTTTTAGCCGCCACATGTTCCCACTGTCCTGAAAGTCAGTCATGTCCCTCCAATTCCCATGTGGGAGCCACATAAATTCGTTTCCGATGCCCTCATGCTGATGAACGATGTGGGTGATGTGCAAACAGCGCTGACAGTCCTTATAGCCTTGGGAGAAGCTCGGAAATTGTTGCCCATCGAGGATGCATTGGTGGTTAGTAAATATATACGAGACTCCGGTTAAGACCTGATTTTTCACCTTTCCAGGAGCACTGGTTCTACACCTATGTGGACCAACTGCATCGCTATGAGCTGTGGAACGAGGCCTGCGAGGTGATCAACCGCTCCTGGCTGAGATCAGTGCAGCAGCTCAACCAGCACTCGACAGCCATGCACACGAACTGCGGGGAATGTGGACGCCCCATGGGCGGCAAGGTGGGATGGTATTGCGACAAGTGCAAGTCAATGCAATCGGCCAAGTGCTGCGTCTGTGGGCTGATCGTCCGCGGAGTGTACGCCTGGTGCCAAGGTTGCTCCCACGGAGGACACATCGAGCACCTGCAGAAGTACTTTGCCAAGCACTCCAAGTGCCCCAAGTGCGGACACCTTTGCGCGTACTCATGAGACACGGAGGAGGCTGGGTTCACCCAGCTTCTGCCTCCCATTTAAGTCCCTTGTAAATAGAGAAGTCTTCGGCCTAATAAGTACCTTGCAAAAGAGCACTAAAGAAATTTGAACCCATTCAAAACACTTTCTATATAGAGATAATATTAGAAGAATACAACTTGTGGAATAAAATCGTTTACATATTATTAAGAAATAGTTAAATATTTAGTCCAAACAAATTAACAGACTAGCAATACGATCAGCTCTATTTTTTAACGACACTAATGTTTCCTACACATGTTTGTTACTTAAATATTTGCAAATAGAAATGCCAAATAAACATGTTACCTGTTAAAAGATGTCCATTGTTTATTTAAATCAATTTATTGCAATATTCTTTAGTCATTTTTTGTCAGATTCACATTGAGCTTGTTGATAAGATAAATGTATTTATGCGAGTGTATAGAACTTATGGCTACTTGATGAAGGTGCTTTTAAAGGGTAATATAACAACTACCTTTTGAGTTTTGAGAGTTGAGCCGCACATTCAGTAGCAGAAAGGGGAGAAAAAATTATAAAATTGAGAGTTCTGTGGGGATTAAAAACAGAGAGCAACATATATAAGTTGCGTTTGTCTTTAACTAAATAACTAATTGTATGTCCTCGCGGGTGGGTGGTAAAGATCACGTCAGTCCCACAAGGACACCACCGCCGGCCAGCGCTGTCCAAAAATCCATCATGCCCTCAGCGCAATGGAATTTTGGCAATATTATTTTTAAATCCAATTTTCTTTTTTTTTTCTTGCATTGCGCTTTGCGCAGTTGTAACTTTGAGTTGGGTTTTAATCCACTCAAAGCTTGGACTTTGGAGCAGCGTTGGCGGCTAATTGTCAAGAGGCAAAATCGAGGCTCACAGTTTGGCAGGAGTCGCCCACTGTTCCACTGGAGCCACTGGCTGCGGTGGCATTCCGCTTCAGCGTTGGCCCCTCATCGTAGCGAATCGTCATGGAGTTGGAGTTGCCGGGAATGGCCACGTAGCCCAGCGATTCGTAGAACTTGATCAGCTTGTCCTTGCAGTCCAGCGACATTTTGTAGCAGCCCAGTTCCTCGGCCAGCAGCGATACGGTGACCACGATCCTGGAGGATATACAACATTATATTAGTGATTCCTTAAGTGATCCTTATAATCTTACAGTTTGCCCAGCTGCTTGCCGCGATATGTATCATTCACCACCACATCTTCCAGGCGACCACGCTAAAAGGGTAAATTAAATACATGGGTAAGTCTAGGAACATATCTTTATATCAGGTAATATTTATTCTTACCACAGCACAATTGTGTATGAACTTGCGCTCTATGACCAAGGATGCAGCTCCAATAATCTCATTCTTTCGAGTATCCTCAATAACGGTGACAAAATAATCTCCACTGGCTTTCATCTGCGAGAAGCGGGCTAAAATAGGTAAATTGTTAGGACTGAATCTTATGAACCAAGTTAATATTCAAGACCTACTCAAGAACTGCGTGCGATTCACATTGCCCACATGGGTGAGTTGGGATAGCAGCTGCAGGAATCCACGATCGTAGTCCGAGTCCTTGAGAGGACGCACTTTCATCCAGGGCTCGCCGGGATTAGCCGCCGATATGAAAGGCTTAAAGTTGGCGGGACTGCGATGAAAATCCAGCTTTAGTAGCAGATTGGGATCATACAGATACGTCTCCTCCTGAAAAATGTTATTGAAATATAATTATCATCTTATGTACCAAAATGTTAGGAGAGAGAAATAGTAATAGTAATCAGTAAATACTGATAAGAAAATGTATTACATTTACTACAATTACTACTATTTTCTATGTGATTTGATAGATTAGAGATGTTTTTTATAGGCTTTTATTTTTAGTTATTGCGATTTCAAATTCCAAAATTCAAAGTTAATGGATAGTTATAAAATACAGTATCTATCCACCGAGTAAATAGAGATAGTTAACCAAAATATTATTATTTTTCTGTGTGATTTTATAGATTAGAGATGCTTTCTATAGGCTTTTTTACTACCGTAAGTTGCACCATTTTCGCAGTGGACTTCACACGTCAGCAAGTGACGCCGATGGAGGCAAAACTGAAGGTAAAACTCAGTCAACAGGTAAAAAGGTGGAGTCGCGATAACAGGAATGGTATTAAGAACTGGTTTCTTGCACCCAAACCCAGCACTTTCGATTCGATTGGGGGCCAACTGGTTTGGTGTCTTATTTAATATCATATATTTTCTATTTTTGCCGCATATATTAAGTACTACGATGGCAAACCGGTAAAGTGCGTAAGACCGTCGACTAGTATTGATTTAGTTTGTTGTGGTTACAATCAGGATTAAAATAAATAACGTGGGTGTTCTCAAGGTCGCGGTGACTGAACTGCCACATGGTCGCGTGTTTTCTACGGTTTTTCTATATATTTAGACATAAGTTCTATCTTTATTTTTGTTTTTCCTATTCAAAAACCACTTACCATGATTTTATCTGATGTCTGATAATGATAGCGAAGCACCAGTTAGCACAATATCTGTATCTCCCGCGACGAAACTAAAAAACTGAAGCGGAAGTTTTTCCGGCCGCTTTTATCGGTCGAAGTTTCGGAGCAGACTGAGCGAAAAACACAAGCCGCACAACTCACACAAAATACAAAAAACCGAGCGCTAATTGGCCGTCGTGGAGAGGCTGAAAACCTCTGGAAAAGGTATAAAAACTGCAATTTCAACGCTAAAATGACCCTGAAGATTCGACGATGTGAATGTAAACATTTAAACAGCTGATTTCGAAGAGAAAGGTACTGCAAAAGAATGATAGGAAGAGAGCATGAATACAGCTGACTGTACAGTATTCACTCTATACGATAAATAAAAAAATACAGTGAATATCTTGCCTTGAAAAATAGAAATATAAACCTTTAAAGATGATACCATATGAAGTAGTTTTTGTTTAAAGAATTTTTAAATGTTGAATTTTTTTTAAATAAAAAAAATTAATAGTTAACTCATGTAAAATACTTTTAAAAGGAAACAATAAAATAAAATGAATATTTGGGGTTTGATTTCTAAAAGCTTGTTTATAAAAAAATATATTCTATTTCTTTGAATAAAAATACCTTTTCAGCTTTTCTGTTAACCAATCTTTACTGTTCTCACACGTAGTCTACAATTAAATAACACTGCCGTAACGTAAGCATTACGTTACGTGGCCACAATGTATTTGGGCGTCTGGTACATCTCGTAAGCGAATTCCTCCCGGTGACTCGGATCGTACTCCAGACCCACATAGTCGATTTCCAGGCCAAATGGACCATCCATTCCCTTTTTTGCGGCCACAGAGAAGCCAAAGTGGGTGACCCTATTCAAGGGTATGGCTCCTTGACGATCCTGAACACGTCCTTTCGAGGATAGGAAAAACTTGGAGAAGGGAATCTTGGCTATCTGCCAGTGGGGCCCTCCGCGGGTGTACAGAACATAGTGATAGATGTCGTTCCACATCAGATCGAAGTAGCCCTCGGTGTGCAGATTGATCAGGTAGCTGCGTCCATCGCCCCGGACCTTCATGATGAGCATGTTGTACTGCGTCCAGTCGTAGGTGGACTCCCTCTTGAAGGATTTCTGGGAATATTAAATATATAATGCCATTATTATCTATCATTTTTGGAGGAAAATCCATTATAAACACACCCTAACTCTCTTGGTGCGTATATTAGCATAGCCCGTCCTCTTGATGATCCCATCCTTGGTGTGATCCGAGTTAACTTCGCCATGGAAGAGTCCTGCTCCGGCTGCACTGAGCTCCAAGGTGGCACTACTCTTGCCCTCGCCGTGATCCGCATCCGTGGTCACCGTCCACTTGTCCAGCACGTCCGGCGCCTTGAAATCGAACACCACATCCGTTTCGCCCGGCCTGAAGACCAGAATGGGGTCACTCTCCAGCTGCTCCTTGACCTCCTGGCGCCACAGCTTCATCTCCTCCTTGAGCTCCCTCAATCCGTCCATGATGAGCTGCTTTTTCGAGGGCTCCGGCAGTTTGGTCTTGTAGCCGGACTTCTTTTCCCGCTCCCAGAAGGTCCTGTGCACGGCGGTGGTGTGGATTTGCTGCTGGACAACCGGCAGGCAGCTGCACAGGCGATGTCCATGTCGCAGGAGGTTATTCATCGCGGCATTTGTGTGAAATTAAATAAATTTTAATTAGCCTAAACTCCTCTGCACCAAAACAACGTAACAACAATCAGCTGTTTTGCCGTTGCCATTCACAGGGAAGCGTACTTGCAGCTGTGGTACAGTAAGTACTGGAGAAAAGCTACTGCCGAAATATTATTTATTTAATATAGGAAAATATTTAACATACAGTAACCGTTCTTAATATTATTTTAATTTAATTTGAAAAGTTGTTTTGTTTTTTCTTCATATATTAAATGTTTTTTTTATTTTCTCTTTTAGTTTAGCTTGACTGTTCTGTTATTCCCAGTGAACGGCAAATCCGGTTTTGTTTTCGTTGCCAATCGCAATTGCATTTCACTTGGAGTTCAAAGGTTTAAATTGGCAACGGATTGGGAAAATGAAAGTGCAGGAGCTGGACAAATGTGCTCCCAGCAGCGACTGGAACGTCCTCTATTGGGTGCTGGGCACGATCCTGATGCCGGTGGCCCTTCCCCTGGCCCTCATCAACATTTGGCAACGATTCCGGGCCCAAAAATACCGCAATCAATTGCCCGGAAAGGTAATTGTTAAACCCTAATTGCTGATTAGCCGGCTAATTATGTAAACGATTTGCAGGTCGTGCTAATTACGGGCGCCAGTTCGGGATTGGGGGAATCCCTGGCCCATGTATTCTACCGGGCGGGATGTAAGGTAATCCTGGCGGCACGTAGAACCCAGGAGTTGGAGCGGGTTAAAAAGGACCTCCTCGCTTTGGATGTGGTAATAATAAACCTCTTTTTATTTTAACTGAATTGCATCACTCTTTCCCTTTATCATTTCAATCATGTTTTGTATGATCCTAAGGGTCGTTTTCCCGCCCGTTTGTTAAATTTAAAGTAAGGTTAAAACCTTAAAATCGTATAGGAAATCAGAGCTTTAACCCTACTGTAAATTTAACAGATGAACGAGAAAACGGCCCTAAAACTATTCACATACTTAACTTGGTTCAAAGTTAAAAAATCAATTTTTTTTAATATTTTTAAAGATGTTTTTCATATACTTTTTAAATTTAGGATTTCAAAACAGACTATATTTTCCAAATATTTATTACTTAAGTAAACTTAACTAACTAAAAACACCAATGTAATCCTTTCAGGACCCCGCCTATCCACCCACCGTACTAGCTCTCGATCTGGCTGAATTGAATTCCATTCCCGAGTTTGTTACCCGGGTGCTGGCCGTTTATAACCAGGTAGATATACTCATCAACAATGGAGGAATCAGTGTGCGAGCAGATGTGGCATCCACAGCAGTGGATGTGGATCTCAAGGTGATGGTGGTCAACTATTTCGGCAGTGTGGCTCTAACTAAAGGTGAGAAAAGGACCCTCTCTACCAGAAATATTTATTCAATTTTATTAACTTTACAGCCCTTCTTCCTTCGATGGTGAAACGTGGTAGTGGACACATCTGCTTCATAAGCTCGGTTCAGGGAAAATTCGCCATTCCCCAGAGGGCCGCTTATTCCGCATCCAAGCACGCCATGCAGGCCTTTGCTGATTCGTTGAGAGCCGAAGTGGCCAGCAAGAACATAAATGTGTCCTGTGTGAGTCCCGGTTATATACGCACTCAGCTTTCTTTAAACGCACTAACTGGATCGGGAAGCAGCTATGGAAGTAAGTTAACCACCAGATAACCCCTAGTTATTTGAACTAAACAATTTTATCCCCAGAAATGGACGAAACCACGGCCAAGGGCATGTCGCCCGATAAGCTAGCAGAACGCATTCTGCAATGTATTCTCCGCAATGAACCCGATATTATTGTTAGCGATCTTCAGGCCAAGATCGCCTATTACCTCCGTCATCTTTGCCCAAGTCTCTACTTTTGGATTATGGCCAAGCGCGCCCTGAAACTGGAGAAAGCTGAGAAAAAGTTCACTTAAGTTTAGTACATTTACATGTCAAGTCGAACGTCCTTAAGTATTAGTTTCGTTTTTATTGTTAATTAAATTTTGCTTAAAATGAGGAAATTATAATGTATCGCATATGTGTGTGTATGTTCGGGTTAAAAATTAGTTACACTCGTGTGTTGCTGCCTAACGATAAGATTAATAAATAAAGTATTGTAGTAATCGTAACATAAAGTACAACTGAATTGTCACACATGTGCTTTTTGTTCGCTAATCATAGTACATACATTTTAATTATTGTTTTGAATTGTCTTTAAAAATATTAGATCGTAAAATGCTAGTATTCACTTCTTTGCTCTTCGGTTTTTGTTTTGTTCGTTTCATTTCGTTTTTTTTCCTTCGATTTACTTTAAGACATTTACGCGTTCTTAATTGACAAAATTACATATGTTATTATGCAGGTTTTTTGATGGGTAGTGAAGTGGTCTTGGACAACATTTAAAACTGGCCATTAACTAGGGGGTAGACGATGGTTTCGTGGGGGATCGGGAGACGTACATACGTGTTTATAATTCATTTAGCTAAATTATAAAAATAGCATTAATCCATCTCGTGAAAAGTATAAAAAAAATTAATTACAATTGAGGTACACAATACACATACAGATTTAAAAATCGTTTGCAGTTTTACAATTACATTAATATTTATGTATATTTAGATTAAAATCAATCGGTTTCTTATGTACATTACACAAAAATTGTTCATTTCGCGCTAAATAGTCTTTTTTTGTCACGCTCAAAATACTCTCGTCCATTTCGCTTAGACAATAATCATTTGCATTTAATTATATACAGTACACAAACATTGGCAATATTCAAAATGTTCTTCCATTCTCATCTGGATAATAAAATTTGGGATGGGAGTAGATAATCCTAAAATTTCTTTCTTTCCAATTTGAGCTCAAGATTGAGAATTTTCATGCCTTTAATACAATCTATTAGGAAAACATGTTCCCTTTCCAATGTTTCCTAGTGGTATCTTTTTTTTTGTTTTTGGTAAGTTTCAACATCTTTGCCTGCCATTATCTTGTATAGTTTCATATTGAAATATGTAGTCAAGACAAAGTAGAAACAAAATTTCAATTCGATTTTCGGGTTTACCATTGTATTTTCTTTTTTTTAATAAGCATTCAAAGCGATTGTCGCGTACTCGTTTTTTAACTATTTCCGTTCTCCGTTTCTTCACTGGCCAACGCGTTAACTGTCTGTCTGTCTAAATACGATTATTTTGGGTCGGTTTTCGGTTTCTTGAGCTGAGCTTATCTCTTCTATCTTGTAACTCTGTATCTGTATCTTGTATATTCCACAAAAATATACCCAAATGCTCGTAAATTGCACGCCCCATATGGATGTATGTATATATATTTTTGATACGCCTTTGATTTTTCCTACACATTCATATAGCTACAAATATCAATTGTTATCTTTAGATCCTTATCCTAAAGGTCGTTAGTGTGTAGTGTGTAACTCGAAAGCCGCTGCTCTGTGATTCGCGATACGATACGGAATGTGACTCTATATCCTACATATGCATGAATATCGTTAGGTGTCTTTCATTATTGTTTGTTCTCATTGCTCTAACTTGGTATTGCATATAAAAACTATGTCCCTTCGACTTCCTATTTACACTACAGGTTGTGTTGCTCTATGGGATCGATGCGTGTTTACAGGTGCCGGTGCTCGAGGGGATCGGGTGGATTAACGCTTATAATGTTCGGTTGGCTAACTTTCTATGTGGCTTTGCTGGGCATTTTCTAAAACCTACTTTCGATGCATGACGCTTTTGATTTATTGACAGTATCGTTGGTTATTTTTGTTGTATCTATTCCGTACGACTATTTGCAACTTTACCCGGCTCCCGTATTTTATCTTTTTTCCTATATGCTACTACCTTCCAATCTTCCTCCTTTCTCCTCTCGCTAATCTTAGTTTTGATCTTGAGAAAATATGCAAAGGATTTTTGAAATGTTCTCGGCTAATATTATGTATCGTTTTTAGTTCGTTACTAAAATAGCACCTTGTATTGTTCTGTGTGTTCGTCGTAGTTCAGATGAGTAGTGATCGTTGTTCGAAACTTGAAGAGCATAAATAGTAGGTATATAACAACTTTAGTAATACTGTTTTGAAAATAAGTTTAGGCAAATAATAGCGAGGGTTTGGCCTAAGATCAATTATTTAATTTCAATTGCTTTTTTATCATTGGTTTATGAAATTGGTTTTATCTGATGGAAATGAGAGTTTTGTTTTGAAAGCTCATTTAGTTAGGCGACGATAAAAACCAAATCGAAATTGAATAGCTGATAATATGCCCTGTTGCCTGTTCCAAATTTGATCAAAATGGTAAGTAAATATTAAAAAATATTACAGTCGTAAGATATGATTTTTTTACTTTTAAATAAATGTAAATTTATATATTTAATTATCCCTTGATTGGAAATGGAGTCAATGGGTGAAGTTTATAGACTTTAACTAGCTAAGTTTTAATAGCTCATAAAAAACCCAATATTTTCGAAATCTATACAAATTAAATCTACCAAATTTGATCGAATCTGGAAAACGGAACTTGTGAGTCTGGCTAAAATTCAGTTTACACAATACAATACAAACAGTAAACAGTAGAAGGTACAAAGTGCGGTGAGTGCGACTGCGGTTTTGGATTGATAGCGGTGGCTTCAGTGGGGGATTGGGTAAGCTGGGTGCCTTAGTGGGTGGCGATGCATTCGAGGTGCTTGGTCGGGGGATTTGTATCAATGGGCGTGTGTGTATAGAATGCGGTTCGTGTGAGTGGGCGTGGTATTTCACATATTCAGCAGAAACGGCAAGTTTAAGGCAGTGTAAAGTACACATCATATATATATAGTGTATGTACAAATATATATATACGTATGTTATGCAAGTAAACCTATGCGACAATTTGTATAACTAACATTAAGACTTATCACTTTCACTTGGTTGGTTTTGGAAACTGGAACGGGTGGAGAGCTGCCCTTAGCTAACCAGGTTCTCCACATCGGAAATAACCACCTCAAGATCCGAGGGCAGCTCATTGTTCTCGTTGGAGGTTGCTGGTGCTGCAGATGTTGCTGTTGCTGCTCCTGGCTTTCCACTTGCTACTCCAGTGCCTCCTCCTCCTCCTGTTCCGCGTGCCCTGAAGTTGTGGAGGCTTCTTCGCGTGGGCTGCGCGGGTTGTGGTGGCCTTTGCATGGCGCTTGTGCTGGCAGATTGCTGCAGCGGCGCTCCTGGAGTTACAGAGGAGCTGCTGGTGGCTGTGCTGCTGGAAGATTGGCGCGAGAAGCTGGCAGGAGGCGCTCCATTGGCAGTACCACCCAAACTGGCTCTTGGAATGTTGCTGAAGCTGTTTCGCGAGTTCCTGGTCGGTGGCACAGGCACTGCCTTCGAGGAGGACACGCTGCTATCCCTGCGAAGATTGGCATTCGACGAGGAACGCCTCTGAGGTGAGGCCACAGCCGCCGTTGAAGGATCCTTCCCGCTCCTGGTGGCTGCACTGCTATTTCCCTTGAGGTTCAGGCTGCTGCGCTTCTTGGTTTTCGACAGATTCTGGCTGAGATTAATCAGATTCTGAGTGCTGCCAAAGTTGCGCGTGAGATTCACCGAACCACTGGCCTTGCTGCTACTCCGGCGAGGAGCCGCCGCGAAGGGATTGTGGGTGGACAGGGAGTTGGAGCGGCGATAGGAGTTCCTTTGGGCAGGAACTGGCGGAGGCGCCACCTTGCTGCTGCTGCTGCCGGGCTTCGAAGTGGAGGCCGCCTCTGCCTGCATATCCACATTCTCGTAGCAGTGCTCCATGGAACGCGGCGGCGTCGGTGGCTTCAAGGTCTCGTAGTTGGGCTCGTTTAGGGTGAGTATCTGGTTATCATCCTCCGCTTCGTTGCACAGGAGCAATGCACTCCTCTTCGCTCGATTGGCCACATCCTTCGAGGAGGATTGGCCTGCCGTTCGGTTGCCAGTCTTCTGACTTCTCTTTGGCCTGCCACCAGCGGTTACACCCACCACATGGGTCTTCACCTTCGGTTTCTTTGACAACCGCAGGGAGAACTTGAAGGGCGGCTTGTAGACCACCTGCAGTTTGACCTTCTCGTTGGACAGATTGCCCATGGACTTGGTCTTCGGCGGTGTCTTTTGCACCAGTCTCTCTGGCGTCGATTGCGACTTGCTCATCACCTTGCGAACCCGCGAACTGTGCTCGATGTGGGACAAGGGTTGGGCTACAATGGGGGATTCCAGCAGCCACTTTTGCACCTTGCCAAAGGTGTTGGTATGATTGTTGGTGGTCGACAAATTGGAGGCATCATCGCCGTTGTTGTTGCGATGCGAATAGTCGATGATCTCCTTCATGTGCTTGCCCAGCTTTTTGTTGTTGGACTTTTTGGGCTCCTCCTCGAGCGATTTCTTCTTGGCCATCGCCTGCGATCTGGTGGACTTCTTTGGCTCTGGATTGGCACTGCTTTTGGCTGCACTTCGGCTTGCTGCTGTTACTCCTGCTGCAGTTACTCCTGGTGTTGTTCCGGTGCCCGGCTTCTTGGTACGCTCGCCACGAACCTTCTTCTTGAAGGGCACCTTTGTCCGCACCGCGGTGTGAACTATCACCCCGTTGTTGTTCTCCGGCAGACGCACTGTCTCCGTGGTGGCGCTGTGTATGATGGTGACGGACTTAAGCTTCAGATTCGACCGTTTCGCCAGCAGCTTTGTGCTCAGCGCCTATAGTAAATTAATTACAGATTAGCATAGTAATAAAATTATTAATGATAAACTAAGGAAAGAGGAAAAGGTAAATGTTTCAATCAGGGACCGTAAATAATCGTTATTTGAGTTAAAATAAAAATCTCAAATAAGGATAATTTGCGGTCCCTGAGATTTTTATTTTAACTCAAATAACGATTATTCACGGTCCCTGTTTTCAATGACGTCTAGCCTAAGATTGCCCTAAAATTAGCCATAGATTACACTGCCAAATGGGTGATTTTTATAAATTTCTACGGGAATATTTCGGGGACTGGTTAACTGGGTGCTCACCCAAGGTCTCGGCCCTTGCTTGCGCTTTGGCCTCGACCTGATCCCTTAACATTTGCGTGATAAGCTTCATTAACTTATAAAACCAAAGGATATTTTAAAATAAAGTTAAGGATTTCCTTCCATTTTCTGGTTATTTAACTTACCAGGAGCAGGATTACTCCTACAGCCGCTAAAGCCACTGTGTACCAGTTGTGCTGCATCCACTTCTTGAAGCTGGCTATGCTCTCCTCCGAAAGCAGAAGCTTACGCAGAGTGGCCAGTGGGCCAGAGGGATCCACTTCCCGGCACTTTTGAAACACATCACAGTATCTAAAAGGGAAAAGAGAGATTGTAAGTACAGAAAACCCTTCTTTAAATTAGATACCAACTAGAGCCCTGCATGAATCATTCAATTTTTGTTTTATCATAGTATGCCATGAAATTTCTGATTTCTTTTGAAATTGAAAGTTTTTCTAATTTATTTCGAATTGAATGAATGAATGAATCATTTTTATAAATTTTTTGAATTTGCCAGATTTTTTTTTTCTTTCTCTTAAGAACAAAAAGTGGAAAATTTTTAAAATAAAATTCATGCAGATTTAATCACAAAATTATGGCCCTTTCTTCTTCAAAAGAAATTGTCGTTTGAATTATTTCGGAATTCATGCCATTCATTCATTCAATTCTATTAAATTCAAAATTAAAATTCATTCTATTAAACTCATATAAAACAAAAAATAAAAAATGCTGGGCTCTAATACCAACCCATTATAATCATTGCAGGGAGTTCCCGGCTTCGAGTACATGTCGGGCACATCGAAAGGCGCCTCGTTCCACTCGAAGGAGCTGCGACAGGGACTCTCCTCGCCGGGCAGCTTGCAGCACAGCTCACAGGACTTGATGCGATCGTCCTGGGGACCCGGAATGCACTGACACGACTCCAGACCGTAGGCCAAACATATACTGCCCGTGCAATCACCCATGTAGCAGACGAATTCCTTGTTACAAATGGTCTTATTCGGCTTATTCACCGATGGCGGACATTGGGGCACTCGACCATCGCAGAATGAGGGATCCCGACAGCCGTTATCATCGCGGCACTTGTCCCCGAACTTCAGCTTGCAATCGGTGGTGCAGCAAGGTCCTTGCGAAGGACTACAGCGGGCATGGGGCGTCAGGGTGCAGGGAGTCTCGTCGAGACGCGGCTGCCGGGACATGGGAAAGCAGCACGAGTCCTTGCAGTCCTCCTCCCAGCCGCAGTCGCACTGCTCGCCCGGCTCCACCACCCCATTGCCGCAAATCGAGGACTGCGGCTCGGTGAAGCAGCCCTTCATCGAACGTGCCTTGGCATTCAGCACGGGTTCTATGGATTTCAGCGAGCAGGTGCTGAACTTGTTGTTGTTCTTCTTGTCACCCGAAGTGGCGCGGGCAAACATGATGAAGTTACCATCCTCTCCACCGGGAGTGCACTGCTCCGGATCGTGCTGAAAGGGGAAGATTATCTGAATAAGTTTGTAATTTTAAATATTTTGTAACCCCCTCACCGGTGATCCGAAATTGTGGCCAATTTCGTGGGCCAATGTCACATGGGAGACTGCAGGCGGCACATGCTTTCCATAGTTCAACAGAGTGACTATTCCTGTGTTCAGGGACTTCAGCGAACCCCTGTAATGACCGTTCTTCTCGCAAACACCGCCAGCGTTTTTCAGATCACCCGTCCAGGCCAATCCCAAAGTTCCCATCTCAAAGTCACGATAGGTGAACATGTAGGCCAAGCAAAAGGCATCGTAGTCCTCCTCTGTAAATAAAAATTATTATAGAAATTGATAATATAATAATTCTTATAAGTTAAAGCATTGAAATATAAAAACCTATGTTTTATTGACACATTTTTGAGGGGTAGTTGAACCTAAAAATTTAATCAAAAAGTTGTGCCTTTATCGTTCTAATTGATTTGTATTACTTAGTCACATACTTGATTGTGTACATCATTTTTAAAAATTTAAAGATTATATTTTTACCCCAAAAAAGTAAACACATGTCCAAAATATACATATATTGTTAATTGAATAACAATTAATCAAAGGAGAAAGTCTCTCTGGGGTTGTAAAAAATCACAGCAACCCATTAATCACACTTAGAACTTGAAAACTGGATCAGAAACCATTTAAGCCAAGTGTGAATTAATTAAGTAATCAATTCTTATTTATCATCTCTTACCGGAAAACAGTTCCAGAAACTTTTCCACCCCGTAGTTGCCCGGGAATCGGTAGCTGGGATCCTTCATCGCGTTCATGTTGTGCACCTTGATGCGCTTGATCATGAAGGTGATATTATCCGGTTTGCCATCGTTGTTAAAGTCCGTGTTCCTGTATATCGTATTGGCCCGCTGCACATGCCGCGTTATGGCCTCGATGGAGGCCTCATCGGAGCCCATTTTCTGAAAGAACGTGTGATCCGCCTGCAGATACAGCATGCAGGTGGTCTTGCGATCGTAGAGCAGCCTGGGAGAACTGTGTATATCATCGCCACCCCTTCCGCTCAGCAGATTCGTCATCAGCATGCTGTTGAAACTGGGATTATGCGGATTGGGTGCGAATATAATCTCCGGATTGTAGTTATTAACAATGATATTTGGCTTCTTGGTGGCCCCGTTCTTCGTGATGATCTCCACATGCGTTTTATGGCTGGGTCTATCGTTACCATTGTTGTTATTATTTCCCAGAAATAGCGTCGTCCAGTTGGCATTAAAGAAGTTGCTGGGCAGGTCGCGGGTATTGTTGTTATTCGAGGGTTCCTCGTAGGGCGTTCCGAATTCCGGTTCGATGGGTCGATTGTACGTGCTCACAATAATGTTCTTGTGTTTCGTGTACAACTTCCGCACATTGTTATTACTATTATTATTGTTATTATTATTATTATTATTATTGCTCTGGCTGTTGCTGTAGCTGCGACTTCCCTCGCCGACATTGGAGGGATTGTAGTTATTTACAAGTATGTTGCGATTCGACGTGGGCTTCGTCAGCGTGGCCAGAAAACTCTCGGTACTGCGCACAGTGCTCCTGGTCGTGGAGGTGGTTGGGTACTTCCTACTCGGCTTGTCCTCCTCGCTCTTGTCCTCCTCGGAGGCCAGGACGCGGAAGTCATCGTTGTAGGGCACCTCCAGATCCAACGGCAGCGGCGGATTGCGATTGTACGTGGGCGCCGGAGCATCCGACATGGCCAGCTAAAATGGTAATTAATTAAAATAAAATAAAAGACAATAAGATAAGCCAATAACCCACCTCCTCGGGCAGCCAGCGCTTCTTCCTCAGCTTCTCGCTGGCGCAGTGCGTCTTGGCGGGCGTGGCCGAGTTGATTCCACCGCCCGAGAACTGCGACTTCTGCATATTTACATCACTTAGCTTATAGACTATGCTGTGGACACCGCTCTCGGCCAGCTGCTGGGAATATCGATGCGCCGGCTCGATGTAATAGTGCTCCGCCTGGGTCTCTATCGTCCCGTCCAGCAGATTGTCGCTGGTGAGGATCGCCTGGACATGGGCCGCCTCGTCATCCTCCAGGCTGCCCGTATAAATGCGCGACACATCGTAGTCGATGGGGCCCAGCGTGTTCTCGATCTCCACGTCGTGGGCGAACACCGAATGCGGCTGTTGGCGCAGCACCAGGCGAAAATCTCTGAGGGCGGGGAGAAGTGTAAGGTGATTAAGTGATTATTTCGTCTCAATCTCGAGTGCACTCACCTGTCGTGGGCGGAGAAATTCAAGCGAATGGTGTGCGCCAGTCCACTTGGCGAGGCTGTGGCCTCCTCCTCCTCCTCCCTTTCTGGCCTCACCTGTCGCTTCTGCCGGAAGCGAGCCTGCTCCAGGTGCCTGACCTGCGCCGCCTGCAGCACCTGGCGATCGAAGTTCGCCGCCTCCCAGTGCTTGATGTAGGGCGTCAGCCTGTGGGTGTAGCCTGAAAGGGGAGGAGAGGTTAGCGGAGGGTGGAGAAAGCTGCCAGCAGCGTTAACAAGATGAAGTTTCTCTCAACCATGTGGTGAGCAATAATTGTAGATACGATAAGTTATAGAATCAGTGGATTAAAGTATTAACAATACAAATTTAACTGCCTTTTCTTGGCATAATACAATTTTTAAAAAATCTTTTTAAAATTAATAATCAAAAGAAGGATTTTACAACAACTAAATATTTGAAAATGACAATTTTTTTTTATATATATTTTATGTTTATACCAATTTTATATTTTAAATATTTTTATTACAATTATTTGTGTTTATTATTTTTAAAACAAAGTTTAGTGGTTTAAGAAAATATTAACAATACATTAAACCAATTTTTAACAAAAATTTTAAAAGTTAATAATAAAAAGAAGGATTTTACAACAACCTAATATTCGAAAATGTCAAGTTTTTTTATTATACATACTTTTTATTTATACCAATTTTATATTTTAAATAATAAAAATTACAGTTATTTGTGTTTATTATTTTTAGAACAAAGTTTAGTGGTTTAAGAACTTCTCAAATATGGTTTTTAAAAGATTTTTTCCAAGTTCATATAATGTTATGTGTTAAATTTTCTAGGATTCGGCAACCGTAAAACTCACCTGGCAACTTAAGGGGCGTAGGAACGCCCAGGATCTCGCCGGGCAGTCGGAGGAGCCAGAGGAACAGGATCTGCAGGCCGAGGAGGCCCAGCAGCCAGCTCATCGTGGATTTGAGAACCGGGTGAGTGCCCGGGTGCTCCGGGTGATTCTAGGTGGCCTACGCTACTTGAAGGTTGTGTTTTCCGAACTCCAACCTCTGCTGCTGCATCACATCATTAATTTAATTCTTATTTGTTATTGCTGTGGGATTCGCTGCGAGGAAGTGTTGGCTCCAAGTGGTGACATCTTCGCTGGAAGAATTTGAAAAGCGGAATGTACAATGTGTAGAATTGAGAATCTCGTGAAATGATTGCACAAAGAAACTGCATTGCGTATACGCCGTGTATTCGGTTCTCCGAGTGGCTTTCACCTTTTAAGCGAAATCTTTTGTTCAACTCGAAAATTTTTTATTTTTATTTTTTTTTTTTGCGTCTTTTTGCATAAATGGCAAAAGCAACAAACGGCGAGAAGAAGAAGAGCGTCACAGCATCTCATTAGCACTTCACACACACACACACATGCACCTGAGCTATTCGTATTGGTGTGCCCGTGAAAAATACTGTTAGTTGGGCGCTCTCTTCGCCCCTCTCCCACTTCATTTCCTCTCTTTCTTGGCCAATGAAATTAAATGCATTCTTTGACAACCGTTTAATTGGATAATTATTGTTTTTGACCAGCACGCGAGTGTGTGGTGTGTGTGTGTGTGTGTATTCTAACTGGGATTTGCTTTGGGCCAAAAGGAAAAATCCCCCCTCTCTTTCTCTCTCTTGCTACTCGCTGCTCGCTGTTGTTGTTGCGCTGGTCGAAAACCAAAATAAAATACACGTAAAATTCAATAAATTGTTGCACTCTTTTTTTCTGTTTGGGATAATTGGATTTGTGGAATTTAGCCAAATATATTGGACAAACGCACACACACAGCGGAAAACAATCGACCTCCGTTAATGGCGTAAATGGTATAAGCCAAGTTTTTTTTCTCTCATTTTTTTTCGTTGTTGCCACGGCCTAAAACCTGTTCTTCTGCCCAATCATCCAGGCCTAAATCGAGCGAATTTCACGACTTCCCGTGCCATTTTTGGCCTTTTCCATTAGTCGATCTTAACTTTGATTTATTTATTCGCTTGGCCGCTTACTTTTCACAGTCACTGAAGCAGTTGCATTACAAGTCGTTTTTTCTGCGCTTTTAACAACTTTTTTCGACCAGACCAAAACCATCCACCAAGCAGTATGACCGCACCGCGAGTTGACCGTTAAAATGTCGGGCTCAGAAAAATATACTATGCACTCGAAAAATACTAAAAAAATACTAAGAGCTAAAGTGTTAGCCGGGTCTCGAACCACGGCACAGTGGGCTCTGTAATTAAAAATAAAAATATGTTGATAAGGGTGAAAAACTTTTAAAATTAGATTTAATTGCTTTAAATTACAAAATATGTGCAATTATTTAACATGATCGCTTAAATCATATCGTTAGTTAACATTTAAGAGCTTCTTTGGCTAACGCCTGTTGCTTCTGGATGCCCTCCCTCAATTTCTCCGCATTCCTCTCTAGTTTGGCGTAGCATTCTTTCAACTGATTTCTTTGGTCTTCCAGATTCGCCTCGGTGGAAGAAAGTTTTGTGACCTTCCGATCGTATTCGTCAAAGACCTGCCACCAAGTTGGAAGCGATATCGCTTCTGGTTCTGTGAGAAGGGCATGCTCCAAATCGGAAGTAGATCCACTTAAGGGAGGCTGATTGACCTCAAAAGTTTCCAAGTCCTCCAGCATCTCTTCCACACTTGGCGCCGTCGGTGGGGGTTCAACTTTTGGCTTTGATTTTTTAAACATTCTGTTTATCCTTAAAACTGAAAATTTAGAAAATTGATAACGTCAGCACTTGGTTAATAAAGGATTTCAAATAACTTTACTTGATTATTTGAACTTCTATGGTGTTGGGGGCTTAATGATTGTGTACTTTAAGTTTATTTTTCAAGAATTAACTACTTATTTAGTATGAACTTCGTAATTTTCTGCATTTGTTTACAAAAACACAAAATTATAAATTTTAAAGTGACCAATAATAGTTGCCTCCAAAATAACATAACTAGAGATTGCCTGCCCCAAGCAATAGTATCGACGTTCAAAAATTCTTCTAAGAGAAATTTTTTTAGTTGGGCGCCCATTTTAAAATAACATTTGTAAATGAAATATTTTTTTACTTTTTATCATAATAAAACAAGAAAGGAAGCTACCTTCGGCCAGCCGAAGCTTATATACCCTTGCACTCGGTGCAGTTCCATTATAATACCCTCTACAAGGATATAAATATTGTCACATAAAGGTCCCGCAAACTGAGGGAATACTCTTTTTTTTAGTTAAATTTAATTTTAAAATAAGCTCAGTACTTCGAAAACTATTTTAGATGGTCATATATACTTTTTTATCCATTTTAACTTTACTTTAACTACAGGCTCTTTATAACTCAATGATCTTAATTAGTCGATAAATGCACAAAATGTGTATCCTTCAACTAGAAGCTGGAGTCTGAGGTGTCTGAGGTGTCTGAGGTGTCAGAGGTGTCAGAGGTGTCTGAGGTGTCTGAGGTGTCTGAGGTGTCTGAGAATCCTGAAAAGGAGGAATTCGAGTCATCACAGTCTTCTTCATCGAGGGGTTCCCTTTCATCCGTGATTTCCAATTGAATATAGGCGTCGTTGAGATGAAGACGCTAAAATAAGAATAAATTTTACATAACAAGAATGAATATAAATATACTGTATTTGATCGGAAACGTCTCCTTCAAACTTTTGACTCTGCGAGAATTTACAAAAAAAAGTTACTGACCACAAAAAATAGGTTCTCCTTATCATCCATATTGATGCAAACTTTTTTTCCTCGCAATTTGAATGGGGGATGAATTTCAGGATTTCGTAGGGGTTTTAAGCTCTTTAAGATGGCATCTACGAACTCGATTGTTAACAATTTTTTATATCGCTTAAGATAAATTGATTTAAGATTTAAGCATGATTCAATTAATGAAACACAAAAGTTGCTTTCATCTTTCTCTGCGAAATGTTTCGATGTGATTTCCAGAACTTCCAGATTTTTTAATTCCGTCAGCATAAAGATGAATTGTTTTTCGTTCACTCCCAATCGTAATCGTGTTAGCCAATTTAATTTCGTTATTTCCAAAACATCTAAAAATTCCAATCTTGTGTCATCCAAAAGCAAACTCTGAAGAGCCGGTAAAACTTTTAGTTCCTTGAGAAGCACGGTCATTAAAGTTTTTTTAGGAAGAAGTTTAGTGTAAAACGGTAAAACTTTTAGTTCCTTGAGAAGCACCCACATTGAAGTTGTTTCAGGAATGTGAATCTGTAACTCTGTCAGATTTCTGAGAGATGTTATGTGAATAACATCTTCCATTCCAATGCATTGGAGGGACTGCAATTCTTGAAGTTGGCATATCAACCTTGTATGACTAGATGCAATTGAGAGTGACAGCAGTCTTTGAGGGGATTGCAGGGTTAAAGCCCTTAACAAACTATCGACAGTTTCGGTTTTATAATCAAAGTGAATATTTAGTTCTTTAAGCTTTGGTAAATTGGCTATGAGTTCCAAGTTAAAAGGTGTTTCCTCTACATAAAAACGGTTGGGTACCCCTAGTTGCAATCTTTGCAAGGAATGTATTCCAACAAGCTCGACAATCTCATCGGAAGTAAGGCTTTCTTGCTGAATACTGAGGCTTTGGAGTACTTGATCTGTTTTAGAGGCAAGGGCGTTAAAAAGCGTTCTTAAAGATCCTAACGGATGTTTCGTTATAGTTAGAGACTCCAGTTGATTTAACGCGGCCAGATGATGTATATTAATAGTACTGGGACCATAGACACCAAATTTAAGGACCTTCAGGCCACGAATTTGGGATACTTCTAAGAGATCCTCGGGGTCAAGATCTTTAATGTCCAATTCCTGCAGGTTTTTGATTAACTTTATTAAGCTAATAAAAGATTGATATTGCGTATCATAATTAATCACAAGACGAATCAAATTATTTAAATTGGTTAAAGTAGCGAAATCGTCAACACTAAAAGGAGTACCCATATTCAAAATAAGTGTTACAATGTTATCTGTATGGATCACACGAATCGAGCCTTTATCAATATAGATACAATCCACTCTGTTGGCTTTCTCTGTTATCCCGTTCAGTTGCATTACTTTCATTGCAATTATTTCCTTCAAAGTGTCAAGATCACACATAATGGCATCTAAAGATCGAATATTAGCAAGTGGACTAATTTGTTCTAGTGTAATTTTCTTACATTTCAAAAATAATGCTTTAAGAACCTGTGGTTGTTTGCTTGCTAGGGACTGAAAAATGGCTTGCGCTATACATTCGTTAAATTCACCAACTAAAGCGATCCCATTCAAATTTAAAAGCTGGACATTTCGAGTTAGGATATTACTAATGTTCGAAAGAGCATTTTCCTTTAGTTCTTTGTCAATATCATTTTCGTTACCGGATGCGTTAGCCACTATCAGTATCCCAAGGTTCTGCATAAATTCGATGCCCAAAGTTGGGCCATTCTCTTGTTTTATTACTAATTTAGAATTCTTGATCAAGGGCTCCATTAAAATAAATTGACCTGGCTTGGCATATATTTTGATTACTTTGGGAACACTCAGATGTGCCAAATTGGCCGTGTCACTGAAACCGCTCCCTATCCCTGATAATGATTTAATTTCCATTACCATCTGCGTTTCTTCTTTAGTGAGTAGAGTGTCGGGAATATCTAAAGTCTTGAGGCACGTACTTTTGAGATTTCGAAACAACTTTAGCAGTGTGCCCTCCCGATGGATTCCTCGAAGGATCAGGGCCTTAAGTTTAGGTAATTTTCCCAATGCTGCATATTCTGAAGCATCGGTCTTCATGGTTAACTCTATTTTTTTCAGTTTGTTACAGTATGGTACAATATCCGCAAACCTTCCATACAATTCGGGGCTTGTGAATATAAGTGTTTCTAAATTAGGATTTGATCGGCACAATTGCACTAAATCGTTAGCATCCATTCGAGCATTGAAAACAAGGATTTTTAATCCTCCCAGCTGCGGCACATTTTCGAAGCTGTATCCTGTAAATTTAAAGAGTTCAGATCTCAATGAATTATAAGCTCTTGGCAGAGGAACTTACCAACAAATGAAATTACAAGTTCTCCAAGAGTGTTCTTGTTACTAATGGCATTCATCAGGGCCTGAAACCTATCCAAATGCTCAGGGTAGTAGCTGCTTGGTCGGTATTTTAATACTAGAGAATCCAGCTCTTTGTTCTCCCTTATCGCATTCACATATAATGTCCAATATATTTTCCTATCTCTTTCGCGAAAGGTTTGCAAGAAGTCGTACTTCTCCACCAAATCTATATCAATTGTGGTAGCCTTTTCTAAAAAGACAAACTCGATTTGAAGTTTCTCGTAAAGATCATTGTCCCAGTCCTTAAATGTTTCGACGAATCTCTCACAAATGGTTGCAAAATAAATAAGATCACAATAGTTTACGGGGAGACCAATATTCTTTAAATTATTCTCCACTTCACAATTAGTTTTAATTTGCCGGAAAATCTCGTACAAACAATCATCATTTAGGTCTATTATCGTTTTTCTGCTCATATTTTCAATTCTTCAGTCAAACATTGGGAACCAATTGAATCTATATTTAACAAAAAACTGCGCAGTTATAGTTTTTTTTTATCTCCACTGATTGTAGTATTTTAATCTTATCGGGAAAGATGATATTAATGCAGCGGTCGACACACACATACAATAACATTTTGTTTATTATTTGTATGAGTAAATTGTACTGGGCAGATCATCAGAGTGTGTGTGCAGACCGCTGTTCTACATTATACGTGTGCGAGCAGCGCGCCGGCAGAACAAAACCCTATGCTCACCTAATAGGACGCTGCCGACCGCTGTACTAATGCAATTCCCTGAGGAAATTCACTTTATTGCTCTTGCAGGCTAGTGAGTTATATTTTTAGACCTATGATTCATTGTTAAAGTGGATTACATCGATCTGCTATATTTCCAATTTGGCTTTTTATGTGAATGGGCCAGTTTAGCATTCCCTTTCCTTTTTTTAATGACAGTTTTATGTTCACTTTTAGATAATGTTTTTATCAATACGGTGTTAAAATATTTTGTTTAGCGAATATAAGAATACAAAACTTCCATTGTTGTCTCGGATCGCAAGTAAGACATACTGGCAAATCAAATGAACTATTATATTATAAAGCTTTGGTTTAATGTAAGCAGGGAAAAGCTTTTTTACGAAAGTGTAGCACCCTTTATCACATTTTTTTATAAGCTTCTAATTACAAATGTTAATTTTATTTTAATGTTGTATTTTTTCCACCTCTAAACTTTGATATACACAATAATTGTAACGAAAAAACATGTCAATTAAAAAATTTAATGCAATATCGTCCAAAATCAGGTTATACCATTTATGGAAAAAAATGTTGTGTGGCTTTTTCTTATACTTTTAAATCCAACGTACTCTTCGCGGGTAACTTAGGTGTGCCCAGGCGTTGTTGTGCAGAAAACGACTGCCTACTTTTCCTTGGCGTTTTGGTATTCTGGCCGGAACACGAAACCCAAGAACATATAGCAACACAACAAATATAGTCAAAATTCGAAAGAGGAAAATACAAGTTATATATAGCACCGATTCGATCTGAAATAAACGGAGAATGGAGAAGTTAAGCAAGGCGAAGAAGGTGGCGCGCGAGGAGAAGCAGCGCGACCAGAAGCTGGAGGAGTTGGTAATATCATCTGGAGAACCTGGACTTTCGGAAACCGAACCCATGGAAACGGGAATAAATAGAGCGAGGAGTTGTAACCCCATTATAATGTCTATTTTAGGTGATGAAATCCCTGGAGGAGTGCCCCTCGACCGAGGAGAAGGTGAAGCTCCTGTTGCAGCGCCATGTGGACAGCGAGAAGAACGTTAGCCGGCTGACGGCGGAGCTGCGCGTCCTGCAGCGCCACATGGAATCGCAGCAGCGGGAGAAGGAGCAGGTGCAGCGGGATCTCAACAAGAGCGTCCTCATGCGCGACAAGCTGCAGGAGGTGTGCCGCGAACAGCAGCGCATCATTAAGTCGGTGAAGAACGAGAGCCTGCTGCAGATCAAGGTCGAGGAGGAGCGACGCAAGGAGAGCCAGAGCAAGTTCCAGAACTCCCTGAACGATGTCCAGAAGTCCCTGGCCAAGAACAACGAGGAGAACATCAAGCTGCGCGATTACAACATCGAGATGACCAAGAAGTAAGCAGCATCGCCCGTCTTCACGAGAGGGAATCCGATTGCTAAATATAGAAACTACTGCACGCCACGCACGTTGCTCTGTGTTCTCCCCTCTTTTTTTTCCGACTTTTCCGATTTTCCCCTAACCATCTGGTCTCCCGTTTTAGGTTAAAACTGCTGGCCGAGCAGTACCAAACGCGGGAGCAGCACCTGGAGAAACTCAATGAGCAGGTCCAGCTGGAGGCTCAGCTCCATCAGGCCAAGCTGCAGAAATGCCAGGTGGAGGCCGCCATGGAGAAGGAGATAATGGGCAAGTAAGTAGGAATGCCGGGTCATCTCTAAAAACTCGAGATAGACGCACCTTAGTTGGGCACACATCGGAGAACGAGTTTTCATTCAAGAAACTCGATGAGATTACTGGTTTCGATTGGGAAAAGTAATCTGTATAGGCTAGCAAGCGTATAAAATGTACGTTTTCTTTGTATATTGGTTTAATCTTTAAAAGATAAATATTATAATTAGACATCGGATTTTTAGGTTTTTTTAATATGATTTAAAGCTGATTAATATGATTTAATTGATTACAATTTTTTTTACAAAAACCTCAATTAAGTTTTGCCTAAATCTATTCATTACTTAATAAATACAGTTTGTAACCAATCAAATGTGGCTTTAAAATCGTAAAATCCGATGTCTAATTATAAAAATAACATTTTTAAAATTTATTGAAGTATGTATGTTTTGACATTTATGGTTAACGATTCTCAAAACATGTTGTATTTGGTTATTAGTTTTTAATTTATTTATATTTATTATCGGTCATTACTGGATTTGCGATTTTAAAGCATTTTTAAAGTATAAAAGCGTTTGAGTACTTTGTTTTTTTTTAATATTTAAAAAATGTCGTATATATTCCCATTTATTGTTAGTTATAGCGACAGTTTTTGATTTTTATTTTAAGCTTCTAAGTTAGTTAATACTCTTCCTATATAACTACTTACTTACAAATATCGCTACTTTATTTACTACTAAGCCTCATGAAAACCTTCTAATATCCTTACCTTCTTCCAGGGAAAACAAAATTGGCCTGGAGAAACTGCTGCAGGCGCAGCGTGCCATCAAGGATCTCACCGAAAGGGAACACCAACTGAAGGAGCAGCTGAATATCTACACGGCCAAGTACGATGACTTCCAGCAGTCGCTGCAAAAGTCCAACGAGGTGTTCGGCAGCTACAAGGTGGAGCTGGAGAAGATGTCCAAGCACACGAAGAAGATCGAGAAGGAGGCGCTGGGCTGGCGCCAGAAGTACGAGAAGGCCAATGCCACGGTGATCGATTTGGCCACCGAGAAGAACCTGCAGGCGCAGCACTCGGATCGCCTGCAAAAGCAGGTACAGCAACTGCAGAAGCTGCTGCGTGCCCTGCAGCTGGAGCGGACCACACTGCACAAGTGCCTGCGGGACAACGAAATCGAAATTCCCGCCTTGCCGCAATTGCCGCCCGAACCGGAGCCAGTGAATGTGAAGCCCGTGAGCGCGGATAATGTTAAAATGGAGATGATGACTCGCAACTGTGCGGAACTGAAGCAAACGCTGGCCAATCTGCAGAATCAAATGAAGCTGCTAACGGCCAGCGAATCGAAGACGGCCAGCGAGGAGAAAAACAAGGCCGCCGAGGAGCAGAGACAGGCGAACAATGCCAAGAAGAATATTCGCAAGAAGGAGAAGAAGTCCAAGGCGAAGGCGGCCGCAGCAGCGGCGGCAGCGGCAGCCGCATCCCCATCGAGTGAGGAGCTCAATGGCGTTCAGGAGCTGGCCGACACGGAGCTGCAGGCAGCGGGGGATGCCTCGATAACGAATGCCAAGGAAGCCCAGGCTACCATCGTCACGGAGCCGCAGGAGAATGTGGGTGATGGCGACGCCGCCGCCAAGTCGCCCGCCGATCTATCCGAAGTGCCTGCCCTAATCGATGCCAATGCAGACTAAATTGTCGACTGCCCGCCTGAGTAATGCCCATCCAAATCACGGACGGCCACATGGAGGCCTCCTTCCTTCAAAGCATTTCGTGTCATCTTGTCTCAACTTCAAAAAATGTCATCAATTACAAATTTTGTACTAGTTATTTATTGTACTTTGTATATTGTATTTATTTAAAGGAATGTCAACGCGGATCGTGCGTATTGCTGTTCAACAACAAATTGAGTAAAACGTGTTTCCTGCAAACAAACAACAGTTTTAATTTAAAGAAGAGAAAGGTTGTGCTCAAAAATGTTAAGAATTCAATACCAAATTAAGGCGCTAGCTTAAAGAAAACTATATAAAAATATATTTAGCTTTGTTTCTGAAATTCCATCAGCATTGCTTGTTAAAGATGCCGCAAATACAAATCTGTACCCACATTTCGCATCAATTTCCATAAGAAGTAGAATGGGGACAGGCCAACGGAGCGCACAAGCTCGATGGCCATGGATTGCTTTCGTCATTGTTGGCGGCGCCACAGAGTCTAGTGTTGCATGCAACACTTGCAATGCCAACAGGCGGATAAGTGGGTGGTCGTGGGTGGTTTCTGCGGTGATAAGGGGTGGCGAGTGCCTGTGGTTCGTGGCCAGGGTCATTATAATTGCGCCTTAATTATTTTCCACACGCAGCTGTCATTTTTGCCGGGCCCCAGATTTCCGACATAAAATATTCAAGACGCATGCAACGTGGCGTATGCGTAACGCCAACTGTTGGCAGCGGTCACTCAGGATGGCGGATGAGGGCGAGGGTGTTGAAGTAAAGCCAGTTAAGCCACTAAAATAATTACACAAATTAATTTAAATTGCATAAAGCGACGCATATGGAAGTAGGGGTAATTATTGAGGGGTTTTTTAAGGACTGTACGGTTTTTTACCCCTTTCCAAGGATTGTTAAATTCCTATTGTCACGGCCAATGTAATTATAAAGTTAATAAAAAATGTAAAAAATGGTTAAAAGCATTAAGAATACTATTTCTAAGCCCCTTCCGCCTGACTTCCCCATTAGGCGGTATTCAAATTGTCTTCGCTATAGTTCCAAAGTGTCATACTTGTGCATATTTCACACCCTCGCACTCACAAAAATGTGTGCACATTTCGCAGGCAATGAGCTTTTGAACATTTAATGAGTTAATACGCTAAATTTGAAAGCCGCGCAAGCGTGTGCCAAGTGCTCCAAACACTTGTCCCCATCCTCGAGTTGCCCATTTTCCAGCTTGAAAAATGAGAATGGGAAAAGCAAGCAGCTAAATCCCACACTGAAAAATATTTTAGAAATATGCATTTTTTTAAGCGAATAATTTTCTCACGCTTAAATTTATAAAATTAAATATAGTTTATAGAATTAAAAAATCCATATAATAAAAGTATATGATTTAAAATTTTTAAAAATTTATCATTAATAAGGTAAAACAAGTTCAAATAAAATATTTTAGAGAAATATTTTTATGTAAGGATACGCAAAATTAATTAATTAATTTATTTTATTTATTTGCTGCCTTTAATTTGGGTGTAAAATTTATACCATTGAATAGGGGAAAAAATATATTGGAAAATGTTGACAAAAACAAGAATTTCATGTTCAAACTGATTTATTTTGAACATATTTATGTTTAATTTGATCAACATGTGTTGAATTTTTTTAAAATTCATCTTTTTATCAATATAATTAATTGAAAATGAAAAATAAGTAATAATTCTTTCAGTGCACTTTCACACGCACATGCAAAACACTAAGCACTTGTCATTTGGCTGTAAAACCCTCCACGTCCGTTCGTCGGCGAAAAAAACAGTGCAAATGTCCAACACACGAGCATATGTACACACATACAGGCGAAGAAGGCGGCAGCCTCGCTGGGGAGGCGTAACTTTCTGGGAGGGATTGGGTGGCTGTCGTGGCGTCGTGTTCATCCTAAACTCATGGGTGTCATTTCTCAGGACCAGGACCAAGAGCCTCTCGGTCTGCAGGCTAACAGCGGCCTAACAGAAGACCCTCATTTGGGACTAGGACCGCCAGGAAAGTGGAAAGCAGAGGCTGCCAAGCTGCCAAGCTGCCAGACTGCCTGACTCGCGGTGTTCAAGTTAAAGGACAAAGTCGGCGACGATGGTGTGGCAATATTTTTTGGCAGCCAATTGTGCGGGCTGAGCAAGATGAATGAGGAATATGAGCCTTGGCCGCACAGTGGGGTCAATTACTATAATTTCTATAAAGTTTATTAAATATTTATTGATTTTAGGCTTTAAAAACTAAAAAGGGAAAAATAAAAATTATAGTTGTCCTTAAAATAAATAAGCCACGACAAAAACAAAAATTACTTAATAAAAATTTGTCGCTTTTCACATTTATAAAAATTTCTTTTAAAAATGTATCATACAATTTGTAAAGAACTCTAAACAAGAATTTTATTTTTTTAATCTAAAAATAAGTTTTAAGATTTCTTAAATATAAATTTTGTCTCCATATTGTATGCTATATTTTTAGCATTACGCATACGCCGCGTGGTCATATCAATATCTTGGCTTACCCTTTTTAAATTCTTAAATATTATTTATATGAACTTGTCATTGCGCTTACGTCCACTGTAACCACCGAGGGCTATGCTATATGCTATATATCCCACCCGCACACCCAAGTGAGTGCGCACCCACTCTCCGGCGAACTCTCTCTACCACTCTCTCTTTTTCTCTCCGTGTCCGTCCGTCCGTTTGTCCGTTTGTCCGACTCCGGCGGAGTGGCTCCGGATATTTCGGCAACAGAAGCCTGGCTGTGCGAATAGCCGGAGATTTTCGCTTCGCTCGCTCGGGAAAACTGAACTGAAAACCGAAAACGAAGCGTCGCTGCCTGCTGCTGCTGGCAAACATTTTCCATTTCCATTCTCGCAGTCCTGTAATCAGTTGTGTATAGGACACTCGCGTGCGCGCGTCGAACGGTTTCTGTTTCTGGCTTTGTATTCGGATGAAAAGTGTGTGTGGAAAAGTGTGTGAAGAGTCTGACGGCGAAACGGTAAACGGGGAAAACGCTGCGCGGTTTTTCCAGTATTTTTTTTTTTAATCTAGCTTTCGAAATGTTAACGATTGTTGCTGCTGCAGCTGCTAAAAATAATATTTGAAAATTTTAAACGTATAAAATATCGTAAATATTTTTGAAAACTAACAAGAGTCAGGGGAAATTTTCCAGCTAAAGCTACAGCTACAGCTGCTGCCTCTGCCAGCGTCGCTGCCGCCGTCGCTGTTTGAGATAAAGGATATGCCCGGATCTAAAAGATACAGTTTTTCTTCTTGTTTCTTTTTCCGCTGCCACTGCTGCTGCTGCTTGGGATTTTCCCTACAGCAACAACAATCGTTGAGACAGGACCTTTAGTATTATTTGCTATATATTTGCTTTATGGCTAAAATGTAATATCCAAAAAAGTGAGCGGGAAAGTATGCGAAATAACTGAATAAGCCGAAATCATTAACAAATTAAAACGAGACACGCAAAGAGGGCAGGAAAATATACCTACCCATAGTAAATATCGAAAGGAGTCAAGTGTTTTTTTGGAGGAGCTGTTTGCTGGCATGCTTTGAGGTTAATACCACCCACCCATCAACCAACCATCACCACCTCCTTCTCCTCTTCCTCCTCCTCCTCCTCCTCCTCCTCCTCCTCTTCATCTCCGTTTTGGCCAATTTCTCCGTCTGCTTTCGCCGCTTTCTTTCTGCCGTCACCATCAGAAGGCATCGAAGGTAAATATATGTGTGTACTTATGTGTGTATATAAGCCAATGGGCTAACAAACTAACCTACAAAGTAAACAAAAGCGTTACGCTACAAATGCAAATTTTTCGCACACACTCACACACACATGCTCAAGAACTATAAACAACAACTCATTTAACTGACGCCATGCCCCATAAAAAAACAAAAAAAAAACAAAAACAAACAACAAAGCTCAAGACTGGAAATGGAAAAAAGAAAAGGTGGAAATGGCACACAACAAAGCAAAACGCACGCTTCTAAAGCTATTTGTATAAAATTTTAATCGCATGCGATTTATTTGACTAGGCGCCAAAGTCGCACACATCAACGCACCCATACACACGCGATGGCAGGGAAAATCCACACTTACACCTGGAAAATATGGAAAACATAACATTCTCAACAATTGTTTATTTTTTACGAAATTATGCAAAATATTTATGAGCTCCTCCAGGTTTTCTATTAAATAATTGAGGAAAGTAATTAAAAAAGTTAAACATAACTTTTCAAAGGAAATTTTTGCGAATTTTCTATTTTGAGTTTTCAATTTACTATTCAAATTGTTTCTTTCATATTTATTTAAACAAATACAAGTTTGTTTTTAGAAAAGAACACCTGGCCCAACTTGTTTACTATTCAAGGCATTATGAAAAATATTTAAATTTGCTCATATTTATATCTTTGGACCAAGTGTCGACAGTTTGTTTATAATTTGCAAAATTAGTGATTGTATGCATATGTTTTATTTTTAATTTGGATTGAATCAAATTGTTTATTTCTATATTTATCTTTGAAAAAAGAAAACAAAGATAATTAAAATTATATATTAAATTTATAATCAAATTGTGTAATGGAGAAAATATTATAAATGTTTCAGAATAAATAACCAAAAATCAAACAATTGGATTATATACATTTTAAATAAACTTTACTTATACTGAAAAACAATAAACTTTTAATTTAAAACTTATATACATTTTACAAATTTTATAATTATTTCAAACTTTAATAATTTAATATTAAACCTAATAGACCCGAAACATGTCGTTTAAATTTCCAATTATTCAGCTCAAATTTCCGTGCCATTTAATCCCCGACAGGCAGTTAAGGGGAAACAAAACAAACAAAAGTTGTGTGCAACAATTGATAAGCACTAAAAGGACTATCGTGCAGTTCGGCTATAAACCATCAACCAAATGCCAATTCCATTTAGATGCACAAGCCGATTATAAAAGTCAACTTATGTTGGAATAGTTTTTGCACTCATTCGACATTGATATATCGTGATTGATTAAAGTTGAATCCGTTGGTCCTTGAATTTACGAGATAAAAAATAAAATGTAGTATGTTCTTAAATCGAGAAAGCAAATTTTTGATATAAGATCCTGACTCTTTGATTTTGATCTATAAAATATGTCATCAAACAAAAAAATTTAAATCATTTTTTAGGAAAGTTATAGCTAAAGGACAATTCTAAGATAGATTAAAAATGAATTGGGTTTTCAGTCCATTCTAGATTTAACATATTGATATTATATGCTTTTAATAGCACTAGTGTTTCAAGACATTTAGCTACCATCTATTTATATAATCCTTGTCGCTATTTGGCCAACTATTTTAAGTGCTTTTAGCTAACAAGAGCTGCATCTGCACAATGAAATGAACTTGGTAGCGGGAAGCTGGATGAAAAAAACACCTAACGCGCAACTAAGCGACAATTGTTGTTTTGTGTGGCATTTAAAAATAGAATCAAGGTGCGCTCTAGTTTCATTCACCCATACAAATATACATCCTCCCCCCCCTAAACACACACACATATAACTAAGAGCCTACATAAAAGTGGCTGCTGTTGTTTTGCAAGTGGGCGAATAAGAGAAAAAAGGAGGAGGGGCGGGCGCTGAGATGTATGCTACACGAAACTGCAAATAGAAAAGTTATAAATAAAATTCACACGAACAAACATTGAAAAAATAAGCTCAGAAACTATAAAAAAACCAAAGGTGATGATGTTTGAAATAAATGGTAATGTTTATTTAAATCACTGATCTGATTTATTAAATAAATAGTCATGACAGCCGATATTGGAATATGATATATGGTTGACGTATTAAAATGAAGTGCAAATACAAATCAATTTGACTGAACAATATTTTCAATGTTCAAAATTTTTATTTATCTGTACAGGATAAAAATCACTTTAAAGCGTGTCTACTAGTATACATTAATATATTTTGTTATATTTTAATTTTATTTATTAAAAATTTCCCACTGCATACTTTTAGGCACCAATTTAAATGATTTGAAATAGTGATTTCTGTGGTTTCTCTTCCTAAAAAATGTAAACCATTTTCTTTTCTTATACAAAAATATCTGGACACTATTATTTACCGGTAAAAGGTCAAAACACCTTAGCCTTGGTGAAAAGAAGAACGCTAACGCAAACCTTAAGACACGCGAACTAATACAAAATGCGAAGCGCAGCTGTGAGCTGCAAAATGATTCAACGCTTTTCGGCTATAAACTGCCTAATCACTTTTGGTGTCAGGTGCGTGGGCCATTCAATGACACTGGTAATTACTATTACTGGCCCAATCGAATGATATTGTCTTGGTCAAAGTGAGTAATGAGTAAAGGGCGTGACTATCGCCAAACGTTCTGTCTTCGTTGAATAATTAAGGTTGGTCAAATGAGGTGGCTATCGGTTAAGTAATTTTAAGTTTCGAACTACTTAAGTCAGTTTGTTATTGGTCATCGTTATTTAATCCAAAACAAATATTTCGAAATTACTCATTGTAGATAAAGAAGTTCATTTGTTTTTTAATCACTTATAAATGTGACAAAAAGTGAGCTATAAAAATTAATGTCTTTTAAAGGACTTTCCTATTTAAAATGTATTGTTGCCTACTTTTAATAACCTTTATAAGTAATTTTTGCTTCAAAGTGATGTATAGTAAATATTTTTAATAGAATAATTATGAAATCAAAGCTTAATAAATAAAAGAGCAAAAAAACAATATTTTTTAACATATTCTCAGTGATATTCTGAACAATTTAAATGGCTTTAAAACATTTCTGTAACCATTTTGTCCCAGCAAAGGCAACCGCAAGCCATTCCCAGCATGAACATCAATTTGCCAGCATTTGGCGACCATTAATGGTCAACTTATCGTGGAAAAAATACTGCTCCTTTTCCCATGGTTAAAGCCATAAAACATGTGTGTGTGTGTGTGTGTGTGTGCACACACATATGGAACAGCTACATAGAGAAAACCAAACGTTTAACTTTCAAACAGCAACAAACTTGAAATTTATATAGCCAACCGCCAGATGTGTCTATAAAACTTACACATCCTCATCCATCCCATATATATATGAACATTCATTTTGCGTAGGTTTTTCTTTTTTTTCATCTCCCTTATATTTTTATCGCCGGCTGATAAGAGCAAAGTTTGTCCGAAAGTTAGCGCCTGCAGCCGTAACACGCATACGCCATGTGTTACAAACATCCGAAGAAAAGGAAAAACGAAAAGAATGAAAGAAACGAAAGTACCCACAATTTCAGAAATGTTAAATGTTAAATGTCCTCTGCCGAGGATTTTGGTAACATTTTTTAATTGCCCCATGGGGGGATGGTTGGAAATCCACATTTACAAGCGAACATATGTTGGCAACATGCAATTAACAAGCCAAGTCCAAGCGTTCGGATGAGAACAAAAAAATGTAAAAAAAAGGGAAATAGCCGACTGTAAAGTACCCGATACTAAATTTTTAGTAGTGAAAAAATGTTCTTAAAATCATAAAACTTTTATTATAAACCCCTTTTTATTAAAGCCATATAATGACCACTTTGGTTTCATAATAAATCTATTTTATTGGTGTATAAATATTTTATTCTTAAAAACTTTTAACTTTGAAATCACCTATAAATGTTGATGTTCTGATTCAATAAAAAAGTTATAGCAACATTTTAGAAACCCTAAAAATTGATTTGAAAACCACAGTAATTTCTGTGAATATTATGGATCATTTGGGATTTATATACACTTCTTATATTACCAAAAAGTATGGAATAAAATTATAAATGGCGACTTTTATTGATTCATAATATATTACTTATAGACTCCTTAATAATAGACTGTCCCAAATGAATACTCTAGTTTTTTGATACGAAATAAAAACCCAGTTGAAAATGTGGCAACATCTATGTTCAGCCACCCACGCAGAGCACTTACAAGCATTAATTACTATGTCGGGCCTGCCAAGTCAGCAACGAGCCAACGAAAAGTTGAAGGACCAAGAGCAAAAAAATATTGCATACTTTTCGGAATTTTTCCCCCCAATTTGGGCAATTTCCCCGCTTTTCTCGCTCTCTCACTTTTCTGACAAGTTGTATGAGTTGCGAAAGTTGGATGTTTCTTTTTATTGCCATTGCCATCGCTTTTGTTGCTATTGTGCGGCCCATTGTTTTTGTTTCTGGCTAAATTTTTTATTATTTGGTCTGTTTATTGTTCTTGTAGATTTTCATGTTCATTGTGAACATAAAATTAAGCCAAGCCAAAACAAATGTTGAGCAAACCCGAAAAAAGTTAGTTTTGTAGTTGATTTTTCGCAGAACAGAATTAAGTTGGGAAAAACAAATTCAGAAATATGTAATTGGTTTTTGGGTGTGGGATAAAACATAAAAGTAGTTCGAAAGACGTAAAATTAGCATTTTTAGAGGGTATAAGAAATTGCAGAAAATATTTAAAGTTTTTATCTAATTCCGCTGAATAGAGCAAAATAAAATGTATAGAAAATCTGACATAAGCAGACAAATTATACCAACTGACAAGCAATTATATCTTCTTAGCCAATTTAACTTGTTTCGACTTAGATTGCTTGTTTGTTTTTTTCCTTTTCCTTGGCGGAAATAAATTAAGTCAGCTCATAAATTAAATCAATTCAAGCAAAAAAATTGTTGTCCAGTCAAGTTTTGTGGCCCATACACC